CCCGCACCCTGACAACAGGCAAGTATAATCAGGGAAGCTCCAACATAACTGTGACCAGTTAGGCAGTGCGTAACATAGATGAAACTAGATATCTCTAGATGCGTTATAAGAGAGAGAAGATATCTATAGGTTAGCTAGACTAAGTACTAGGAGTAAATGAAGAAGTTATGTGACTTCTAACAGATGTATGTATAGATAAGATACGCGCAGGGTTAGGGGGATCACATGCAATACAGACCGGATCCGGATAAACGGCCCGTATTACGGAGGTCACGTGTCAGGTAAATTCTGCCACCAATCAGAGGCCAGATCTCAAATCTGAAAGGCGGGGATTTAGACCTAGTAATTAAGAAATTGAATGTTTAGTATATTTGCTTCGCTTCGTTCAGCAAAATTAGGGAGTAGCGGCCTGATTTATCTTCGGGATTATAGTGGGGGGTGTGAGAGTCATGTGACTTCCCTATTTGCTCCCAGTGCTTTAGTCTAGCTAGTGCCTATAGATAGCTTCTCTCTTTCACCACGCACATATATAGAGATTTCTAGTTTCATCTATAATTTAATTTGTAGATAGCCTACCATCTCTCTCAGCAACATACAATTTACGTGGTTAAATCCACCACTGGTTAAACATTTACACACACATAAATAAAAGTGGCAACGTTGAACGACAAGCAGAAACAAGTCCATAGCGTCATCGACCAAATGCGGAGAGTGAGAAGACGTTTACTGCAAAAGTCCTCAACTGGGATCCTACACACTTCAATATTCTCTGAAATAAAATATCGGCAACATATGCAACACCCCATATATCAGATCTAAGATTTCCACCCCGATAGTCTTGGCTCTCTCCGCCCAGTGCCGTGTGAGCCGTCAGCGGAAGCTGACTTGGGTGATCTTCCTCTTTGACCTTTTTCGATCTTTCATCTTTCACCTCTACTCACAATCCTATTCTATGTCAATCTTCACTAGTAAGTCTGTTCCTTTTTATAAATTCCATCTGATACCAACTACCCTCTCTGTTGCTTTGTTGGGAAGTGTTCAGACCATCAGATGCGCTACACATGACCAATGGTGCAAATTTGCATTATACCTGTTTTGCAGGATTGATGCGTTTCAAATATTTGAATCGCTCTGATTGGCCTTTTTTTTCTTAATTGTGGTTTCTGTTTTATGTATTGGAAGTGAGATCGCTTCCCCTCGTGATCCTACTATGCGGCCCCCCAATGCTCTGTGCCGCTCACTGCCTAAACCATCTTCCTCCTGTACTTCTGCTTCCTCTTACTTATCTCTTGTTTCAGGCACCTTTTGCGCCTAGAAATATTCATCGCTAATCTCATCAGCGCTTACAGCCTAATTCCTCCCACTTCCGCCTTGACCGACTGAATCCCTACGTCAGCCTCGTAGCGCCCCCCTCCGTGTTCGCCCCGCCCATCACTAAACCACCACCCCGATACACCAATTCCTCTTGAAGGGATACAATCAAGCTGGCAGGAAATAAGCGCCGCAGTTTTTCTTCTCAGGGTGGGTTACTGAGCAGAATGTTCAGTGGCTCCTCGAGCCCACCCAAAGATAGAGTGGACGCACTCCCAGAGGCTGGCCTCGACCCCAACTCCTTGACCCTCCAAACTGATACAATCGGTACCAGTCCACGTGAGAAGAGGTTCTCTCCGCCTAGCGCTGGATTTTTCAACCGTCGGCAAAGTGAGGAACAGGGTACCGTTGGCGAGAAGAAGCGCAGGAGTAGTACCGTCACCAAAGCGGCCAACTTCTTCAGTAACGCCAAAAGCTCCCTGAGCTTGAACGGCCGAGATAGTTCTGCGATTAGTACCAGTCCCTCGATCTCGGAAAGCCCGCTACACAAGCTTGGAAAGATGGACCCAGCTCTCAGCGTCCCTCAAGGGTCGTTCAATAACTCCGCCGGTGAATCCGCGCCGACTGCTCGGTCATCCTTCCGTGTTGGTGTTACGGAAGACCGGAATCGCAAATGTCGCCGGACAATGGAGGATACACATGCCTATCTCTACAATTTCCTAGGCACCCCTGCCCCGACTGCACTAGAAACAAATGGTGCTAGTTCCCCTAAGGGCAGCCCGGCGCAGTCACCAGAAGACTCGTCTACCGTTGTAGAAACAGATAATGGCTATTTCGCAATTTTTGACGGACATGCCGGCACCTTTGCTGCAGAGTGGTGTGGAAAGAAGTTGCATTTGATTCTCGAGGAAGTCATGCGCAAAAGCCCAACCACTCCCGTCCCGGAACTCCTTGATCAGACTTTTACCAGTGTGGACCAGCAGTTGGAGAAATTGCCCGTCAAGAACTCTGGGTGTACAGCCGTTACGGCCGTGCTTCGGTGGGAAGATCGTGTACCAAACTCACAGTCGGCCACTGGTTCTTCTGCCCTTGGCCCGGCAGCCGCCGCCGCGACGAAGGCGGATACAAATTCAGAGAATATCGAAACCCCGACTCAAGCTACCCCAGGCACCCCTGCCATTCTGCCTAAATTGCAGGACAAGGCTATTCGGCAACGGGTTTTGTACACAGCCAACGTCGGCGACGCACGCATTGTGTTATGTCGTAATGGGAAAGCACTCCGTTTGTCCTATGACCACAAGGGTAGCGACGAGAATGAAGGGAGGAGAGTTGCCAACGCTGGTGGGCTAATCCTGAACAACCGCGTGAATGGAGTTCTAGCTGTCACCCGTGCCTTGGGCGATGCATACTTGAAAGACCTTGTGACTGGGCATCCCTACACAACAGAGACAGTCATCCAGCCAGATGCTGATGAGTTTATCATCTTGGCCTGCGATGGTGTAAGTTTGTGATCTATTCAATGTCGATGATACAAGGACACTAACTATAATTTAACAGCTGTGGGACGTTTGCAGTGACCAGGAATCTGTCGATCTTATTCGGAACGTTCAAGATGCCCAACAAGCCTCAAAGATTCTTGTCGATCATGCACTTGCACGGTTCAGCACCGATAACCTGTCTTGCATGGTGATTCGCCTTGACTCCAACCGTGTGAAGGACCTTATCAACAATCATACGGGACTGATAGGAGTGGACGGGGATCCGCATACCAAAGTCGCTGGGGGCGTGAGTGAAGCTGACAAGATTGTCGAGAGAGCACAGAAGAGCCTTGTCTCTTCCGGTCTTGCAGATAATCAGGTCGCGGCAGAGAAGGCCAATGAAGAGACTATTCATAGAATGGCCTGCAGCAATCGCAAACAAGAACCCGGGCCTGCGATGTCAATTAAGGAGAGTAACGACCTTCCCTCTGTGGACATTCTGAGTCCGAATCAGAGCCCTGATGACCCTTCAGGCTCGACTCAGTGATTTTACGACATGTTATGAAGCCGAAATACCGTTCTGAAGCTGTGAAAACGAAATGATAGAACGTGTCGATTTCTTTCTTTTCGTCTACTATCGACCTCTGGTGCTTCTGGGAGCAATGTATCCAACCCGGAATATCTTCTGGAGTTTCCCTTTCTGTCGCTTACTTATTACAATGGCGTCAATGGTGCACACCTGTTGCCCGTTGTCTCCAATTTTCTACCTTTTGTTTATTACGAGATCAGACTTGGTGGTCTTGATGTCTTTTGTTAGCATAAGTCTTTCTATTATTAGGATCTTTGTCCTGAATTTGGCCTCTGAGAAATTAGGCTCTTATGTTGTTTTCTATCCAATTATTGTTCGAACTAAAGACCTGTTTTGTATCCATCTGTTGTATTCGCTGCTGCTGTAGGGTGACTATGATCAGTGATGATGAGGCGATAGCCCTGGTTTTCCATCTTAAAATCAACAGTCACTTTTTGTTCGCTATAAACTCAATGAAGACATTGGTTTGAAAAATTCCGTAATCAGTCGTCGAAGCCACTTGTGTTTTATGTTGTATCCAAAAGATGAGATGGCTTGAAAGATGAGACATGAAGGACCACAAAGAAGATGTCAAAAGAAGAGACCACTTCGAGATGGCCGTATCTTCTTGTGTTTTGATATATCTAAAAGTACAATTTATGAATGCTAGGATAAGCTAGACTTAAAGACAAGAGAGAAAATACAAAAAGCACCAACCATCAGGCTAAAGCCAGAGGGAAGTGGATATCAACACCCCCAAACGTCCCGTCTCGGTCTAGAATGAGCAACGGACAGAAGAGAAGAAGAGCCTCAATGACGCCAAACGTCTACGCCTGCTCAAACGAACCGTTGGCGATGATCTCCTCACTAGGAACCGGAAGGTCCTCCTGGCCAATCGTGTGGTTTCGAGTCCAGCGCAGCTGACCGTGCTCAATGTAATCCGGCCAGTGCTTCGCGAACTGCGCATCGTATGTATCCTGCCACAAGATCTTGACAGTATGCTCCTTCGGAGCGTTGTGATCCGTGCTGATCTTAACCTGTAGCTGCTCCTCGAGCGACGCAACCTCGCCCGCACGTGCCTTGGCCTGCTCAGCCTCCTGCAGGAGAGCCGCACGCCTGCGCCTACGGGCCTTGAGAGTCTTGTACCCAGACTTGGTGCTCTCCGGCAAACCCTCCACGATGTGGTCCCTGTGCTTCTGCAGAACGAAAGCAATGTCGGCAATCGCGGTGGCCTTCTGGTTCATGAGGGCGTAAGCACGCTCCTTCTTCATCATTATCTGGCCCACTCTTCCCATGTTCTCCTTGTCCCATTGTTTCTGGTCCCGGAGGTCTACCGGCCGCTTTGAGTCGAGGTACTCTTTTGTCACAGTGATCATTTCCTTGGGCGGGGAGAGTTGGCGCAGCAGCGCGAATTGTCGAAGGTGATTATAGACGTTCAATCCGACTTGCGCCTCGTTGAAGTGCACGGAGAAGTATGGAACCCACATATCCTTGCGGACTGTGGCTGGGATGGTCTTCTTGCCGTGGTTGACACATTGCTTGAGGAGGTTGGTTTTCTAGAGGTCCGACAAATTAGAAAATTGCGACATGACGGGCTGGAAGAATACGGCAACATGGTGTGTTTTTGCTAGAGACCGAAGCTCTCCAAGTCCTCCCCCGTATATGGAAATACACTCACCTCCAGATAACGAGTCAATGAGTACACGACCTGTTTCGTACGGATGTTGTTGTACACGAAGATGTTCTTGCCGTGGGTGACGGAGTTCAAGGCCTTCTGTAACCGTCGACCCTCCTTGTCCTGGTGGTCTTTGAATGCATTTGAGCCCGGTACTCGGGGCTTCCCTTGAATTGGTGTTTTCGGATCAATCGGTGGCCGGCGGATGAATTTCGTAGCCGCAAGTGCTGTTGAATCCAGCACTTTCTGGAAAGACTTGGCGTTGGAGGCCATTTCGGCCGGACCGAGGCTGCGTACAGTCGATCTGAGAAAAATTGGGGTAGCAAGAGATGCGGGTTTATTGCATTGGTGGGAGGCGCCAGACGATGTTGATCAAGAGAGACGGGAGGTCGATTTTTTGACGGGGAACGCTGAGGTCTTGGCGCTTGCTCTCCGCATCAACTCTTATCAGCTCACTACTCTCTCTTTCGCCATTGCAATTGCTTCCAACTGTGCTTTGTCTATTTCTGTTCTCTTTAATATGAACGGCTTGATCTATTTGTGACGCACCAACTAACCACCGTGCTCTCCCGCAGCGCTGGCGTTATGGACAAGGAGACGGAGCATGATACAGGTGCCCGTAGAGAGAGGCCATGGCTTTATGCATGGGTATGTACAGAAAAAGAAAGAGAACGCGATGGTGCTAGATGCTGACAAGATACTAGAACCGTAGGCTTCGTCATCTGCAGGGAATTTCCATACGAAACTTGGTTGTGACGCCTCCCCCGACTAGAGCTCGTGGCAAGACCACTGATGACGACGATATCCCGAATACCTTAAAGACACCATCGAAGACCCTATCGCAGAGCAACAATCACACCTTGCATCCCTCACGATCATTCACTGATCTCAAGTCGCATTCGAGTCAACATGACATTGCAAATAAGCCTGCGATGCGTCCGTCGCGTCGCAAAAGTACATTGTTCTGGAACGACCCCAATCCTCGAACTAGGCAGGTAAAACTAGAAGATATCACCAACAGCCGCATGGCGGATACGTTTTTCTCACTTCATTGCGATGGCCTTGATGGGCCGGTGTATATTAGCGAAACGGTTGACCGTGCAAACAATCCGAGTTTCCAGTCATTCGACTTGAATCTATGTGGCCCACATGTCTCTCGAATGGATGAGTTGACTCTGAGGGTCTGGACAAAGATTGGCGACGTTACCGAGTTTATTCTACTAGTTGAACTGCATCTGCATTTGCGATCACTTCAGTTCTTGGGGAGGACATTGGAGAGCTTCCACCAACCTCTTCCTGCGAACTCGATCCTTTTCCACTTCCCAGACGGAGTGTATTGCAACCTTACTGACCTTCCACCGGTCGAAACATCGCTCCAAGCCGCAGGACAGAAGGTCACTGCAGACGGTACCGTCTTGCCATCCTCGTCGTATGACGCGTTGATGAAATTGGCCAATTTGGACGAATGTGTACAGGATGCATTGGCTACCAGGGAGAAATTGGAAGCTCAGATTGGCTCCATTCTACGGCAGAATGAGCGCTTACTGAATGTAGCAAGCGATGCAGCTGCGGCACAGGAAAAGCTTGCTCTTACCAAGCAGTATGTCGCCACGGAGCGCAAACGCGTCCGCACCGCTGTCAGGCGCAAAGAGGAGCTCATTGCCAGTATCAAAGCTCGTCAAGAAGCCATGGAACAAGGTCGTAGTGCTCAGGAAAAGACACGCAGTCATCTTCCCGAGGCTCAGGAGAGGTTAGTTTCCAGCGAGCAATTGCTTGGGCAAAACGAGGAGGACACCAAAGGTCAGCTCCGACGTATTGCTGAAGACCTTCTCGCGATCTACCCTATTGAACCCATCCCCGATCAACCCCTGGTATTCACCATCGCCGGGCTAGCCCTTCCAAACTCGGACTTCGAGGGTATCGACCGTGAGGTAGTCGCAGCGGCATTGGGACACACAGCTCACTTGGTCTATCTGCTCTCATTCTACCTGTCGGTGCATCTCCCATACTCGATCAACGCGAACGGGTCAACATCGTTCATACAGGACCCCATCTCCGCATCACTCCCACAGCGCACCTACCCGCTCTACCCAGTAAGTGTGCAGTACCGGTTCGAGTACGCAGTCTTCCTCCTCAACAAAGACATTGAATACATCCTCATCAAACAAGGATTACGCGTCTTGGATATCCGACACACCCTTCCCAACCTCAAGTACCTCCTTTATGTTCTTACATCTGGTGACTCGGTGATCCCCGCCCGTAAAGTTGGTGGTGTCCGAGCTCTTGTTGCTGGGTTATCCACTCCCAATCTATCACGACGTGGTAGTGTGGACAGTGGTGCATCTGGTGAGCTGGTGCAGCCACGCAAAGCTTGGGAGTCAATGTCCCGAATGAACGTCAGCCTCGCCTCACATAAGGTGAAATAGTCATGGTCCCTGCCAAGAAGTAAATATCTCTCTCTCTCTCTGTTTCTCTCTCTATTATTGATGATTTTCAGATGGTTGAAAATGTCTTCTAAGTGAACATTGGCCCCGATTTTGGACAGTGACATCGCCCTTGATTTCCTCGGTTTCAGAAGCACTGGACATAAACATGAACATTTTGATCTCTCACAAACACTTGTAAATTTTCAATTTCGAAAAATCTTGTTTGTAAGGTAATCATATGTACATGCACATAGTGTGGATAGTTATCTCTAGATTCCGTGTCTTACCCCGCAGAGGTCTCATTATACTCGTTGAACGAAAGCCATCCGGTCCAGTGACAAGGAGAAAACTCTGACATCCATTGCTATTTCGACTGAGATATCTTTTGGCAATTATAAGTCCAATTCCATCTACTATCTCCATTCTATTCTATTGTGCTTTTGCCCGAGTTGTCGGAGTCAGAACACCCCCACCGCCTTTTTAGGCTTATCTCGCTTTCCATCGCTTTGTATCGGGGATTTCCCTATTGCTATCCACGAAATGGGGGATAGTAGTGTGTACAGCAAGGCGGAGTCTGATGCACACCATCGCCGAGGATATCAGGCCTGTGATCCATGTCGCAAACGCAAGGTCAAATGTGACCTAGGAAGTATGGGCCCATTCCCTTTCATCATGCTGCTTGACTGATCACCACCCAAAAATTTTTTAAGGTGTCGATAATCCTCGCCCCCCACCCTGTGTTCGATGTCGTCGCGAAAGTAAACGATGTGAATTTTCAGCAACTCGCCGTAAGCGCAAGACCTCCGATGCTGAGGAAGATGAAGTGAAGGCAGCGGCGATCCTCCATCGCGACAAGCGAATGATGATTGGGGAGGTGGCTAAAACTGAAAGTCCAGTTGAAGGCCCGCCATTTGCGCCTTCCGATCCGCCTCCGTTCGGACATGAAGCCGTGCTTGCCCAACAAAGATGGTCCGAGGCGCCTGCACCTCACGCACCTCCAGCACCTTCAGCACCTCCAGCCCCGCGTTACACGCCCAGTGTGCCAACAACACGAGCTCCCACATACCCCGTCAGCGAACGCCCCGCGCCACCAAGTTATGGTGGACCTCCGATGATGAACCGCACTGCGGTGGAGTTGCTGTCACCTGCAATTACAAATACCCATGACGCTTTGCATCTTCTCTCTGAAGCTGCGGGCAGAACAGAGGACCTCAACCGCCAGAGCCTCGAGAATCGGCTTGCTGCACGGCAGTCTGTCTCGTCTTTTAACTCGGGGCCGTCCCCTCTACCTCAAGGCAGCTCGCCTCGGAGCTTGGGTGGGTCCTTTGTGCGGACACCTCGATCAGGAATGTCTATGGGCGGGTCTACATACTACCCGGCTGGTGCTTCGGGGCCGGTAGATCCTCAGATCGCCGATCCTGGTCTCCAAAGGGAAAGCCCAGTCAACAACTCTCCCCCGGAGCCGAATTTCCTTGATGCAATTCGAGCTTGGTCGCGATTACGATTCGTCCGTGCCGGTTGGCTTACAGTGGAGGAGGGCATGGACTATGTGGAGTATTACTATGAACACCTCGCACCGATGAGCCCTGTTGTAATCCCTGATTTCTCTCATCCCTCAACGCACCGCACAATGCTTACCGATGAGCCGGTCTTGGCGGTTACAATCCTCACAATCGCGTCTAGACACCTGAAACCGAAGGGTGAGGGTGCTAATACGCGGGCGTTCTATATTCACGACCGTCTCTGGGCATATCTACGCAGCATGATAGAACGCCTGTTCTGGGGCCAAGAGAAATTTGACGCTGGGACATCGGGCATTGGCCGACCTCGATCGCTTGACTTGAGTTCATCAATGTCAGGCAAAGGTAGTGTGGGTGGGCAACTGAGGTCGTTGGGCACTGTAGAAGCTATGCTACTTCTTACAGAGTGGCACCCACGAAACCTGCACTTTCCACCGGGGGACGATGAAAATTCTCTTTTGGACACGGATCCCCAGACATACAGCCGGGCCGATAACCCCTTGGATCAAGACAGCGAGAATACCAGCAAAGGCTCAGAGGGAAGGGTCGCGTTTCAAAAATGGCTGGAACCGGCCTGGCGGTCAGACCGGATGTCATGGATGCTACTGAGTACGGCGCAAGCTCTGGCTTTTGAACTTGGCGTCTTCGACCCTAAAGGAGATGCCAAGGTGACCAATGAGCCACTATCCGAGCAAACACGGAAACGTCGACTGCGGCGTTTGATCCTTGTGTTTATTACGCACAGTAGTGGGCGCCTAGGGATTCCATCTATGCTCCCATTGCCTCAATGGGGGCAGGATACCACGCCGACGTCTGCCGATGCGAAGGATGCTGATGCCAATCTTGATCGGATGCAGGATTGCTGGATCAGCATTTCGAAAATTGTCTATCAGGCCAATCATTTGTTGTTTGCATCCAGCGATCAGACTATGGATTTGATCCGGAGTGGAAGATATCGTGAGCAGATCGACCGCTTTCAACCGTATCTACGGGAGTTCCGGCAGCAGCTGGACAGTGTTACTCGTAAGTCAACTGCTCGTTAGTAGAGGATAGGGAAGCTAACATAAAGAAGTCTCACCGGCTATGCGGAGTGTTTTGCAGATTGAGCTTGAGTACACCCGTAAGTTGACCCAGCTTGATCTGCCGAAGTCAAATTGCTAATATGGCCTTAGGCCTTTATATAAATTCCCTCGCTCTGCAAGCGGTCGTTGACCGATGGACTACCATGTCCAATGAGTCCGCTCAGAGTCAAAACCAGACACAAAATAGCCAACCAGTATCGGGGCCCTCTAACAGCAGCAACAGTTGGTTTCAAACGTTGAATGAGCTCTACCGTGTCAATGAGCATTATATTCAGGAAGTCATCGATTCCTCGCGCAAAATTCTGCAGACTGTATTGGAAGGCCTCGTCCCCGAAGGTCGTCTGAGACACGCACCTATTCGAACTTTTTTCCGAATCTTGTCTGGAATGATCTTCATCTTGAAGGTATGTTCTTTGGCGGAACCCCCCAGGAAGCATAATTCTGACTCCCAATTATAGACTTTCACTTTGGGTGCTAGAGAAGACGATGTGCGAGTGTCTCTAGACCTGCAGGACCGTACGGTGGAGGCACTGCGCAATTATGTCGTGGATGATGTGCACCTGAGCAACACGGTAGCTCGGCTTCTCGAGCTTCTCACTAGCAGCATTCGGACGCGTTTTCTGCGCTTTGCACCGCATGACCGGGGCGCAGACGGAGAGGGACATGATCGTACCTCGGGGCCTCATTCGCCATCGCGTGACCATTCAACAACTCGTCGTGACGGCCCGAATGCACCTTGGTCCGCTAACCAGGGCCATGATACAACGTCGGGCGGGTCGGGCCTAGGATATACGGACACTCCTAGCACTGGCCACCCGATAGTGTCAGGGCATGATCCACTGGCGAACATCCCTGCCCAGCCGATCAACTCATCCAACCTCAATGTATCCTTCATGCCGCCTCCGCCGTCCGTGTACCACAACTACTATGAGTCAAACTCGACATTTCCCGCCAACGAGATGGACAGATCATCGCCAAATCAAGCCACGTCATCACAGACCATGGGCGACAGCCACCATTCTGCCTCCGGTGCGCTTCCGGATTGGTTTGCTCTGCCTCTTGATCAATTCTTCAACAGCTCCACGGGGGTTGTTGACCAGGGTCTGGGTGGGACTGGACCCATGCTTGGTGAGTTCGATATGCTCGAGGTACTCCTCAATGAGGGGTATGATGGGAACACTAACGGTGAGGGTGAGACCGGGGCCGGACTATCGTCCCAGTATCTGTGACGAAGATAATGATGATTACGAATATTTTGGTGGTAACTTTTTTTTTAATGTCTTACGCTTTGATCTTGGAGTCTCTTTGGAGTCTAGCTTATGGGGCTGTACCTTGGCCTCTTTTTTCCTACAACATATACCCTTGCGGGATTCGCTCGGCGGTTCTTCAACATACAACATACGAAATCACTCGCAGTTTGCTTGAAACCGATTCCTGAATTCTCTGATTGCCTGACAAGTCTGCCGATGGTGTTATCATTGCAGCCCATCGTCGACAACATAGTCCATTGCGAATCACTATACGGGTTAATTCCGGCGGTGTCCGTCGGGGCATTAGATTGCGGGGTCTCTACGGAGTAGTTTAATGAAGAAAGTAGGTCCTCTTTGCATTCACCTGGTATTTTATCAATCTCTTGGACCGCAGAGGAAGCTTTTGGGTGGTGGCTTTGGCTCTGGAGTACAACATATGTTGTACTCCGTTCTCCGTGCTGACGATGTGTGGATAATGTAAATTTAGTCCCCTGAAGACAACTCCCGCATAGGGTTACTGTGTGTACTCCGTAGTTCATTCAAAGAGATGATTACCGGACTTTCCAGTGTCTCTAAGACAGTCACTTCCCTGTACAGCATACTTTATCACTACAACATACTGGACTCTCTTCCAAGGAACGGAAGTTTTAATTATTAAATTTTTTTTGACAGCTGATCCTCGCGTTGAACTGCTCGCCATATCGATAACCGTTAGATCCTTCGATTCTTTCAATGCAGGCAACAAGAGCCGCTATTGGATCGTTCTCCGGGGGGGGAGGAGCCACATCTTCTGATATCGAGCACGCGACGTTAATGTTGCAGGGATTAGTAAAACATGCAATACAGGGACGGATCCCCGTCGGAGATTGTACTTTTATTTCTCGTTTTCATTGAGAGCTAACAGAGCCAGAATCTCGGCGGACAACCCTTCTCGACCCAAGTTTAAACCCAAAAAGGTTCACCCACCGAATGTCTCACCTAATGAGGCCCGCTAATTGCTTAATAGAGCGATGTGACCTTGTTTGCGCCCTCGAGCAGATGATTGGCCGACGTGGAGATAACGGTGATCGTCAGGGCGCTTAGTGTCTCAATGGTCCGAACAATTAGAACAATCCCATGCAACGTGACTAATCTGTCAACAAGACAATCTTTTACGGAGTCGTGGGATTACTCCGTACTCGCTATCGGGGTAACCCAATGAGAGCCTAGTGTTCTCTTACACAAGGATCACCAAGGATGGCGATTGGCCAGCCTTCACCCAATGAGTACCAAGATGCAGTCCTCCAAAACAACGCTTTGCCTTGGCTGGACTTCTCCATTCAGATAGCTTGTCATAACCAAGCTCCCTAGGTATCTTGCTTAAATCGTATTGCGTGCATCTTCTATCCCCCCCCGTGCGCTGGCCACGCTAGTCCTCTCATGTCCATCGACACCCTCTAGGTTTTTGAGACTTGGTTACTATGTCGCTTTTGGCTTGACCCCTCAATAGCCTGCGTGGCGGACTCCGTTGCGCAATCCTGGATGGCCGATGGCTTTCATGACGATCTCGAAGTTTCCCCTCGACTTGACTACATTCTGCTGGATCGTCATGCTTCCTTCCTAGAAGAGCAGTGTCACCTTTTCCGGGATGTTGTGATGGTCAGCCCTGTTGATGTCTTCCACTCTCGGACGCCGGCGGTTGGCTTCTATGTAGAAAAGCTATAAAGGAGGCCTTCCCTCCAGCGGTTTGTGGAATCCATCTTCTCCTGCATTGGCTTCATTCCTATAAGATCCATCCTTCTCTACAACCATCATCATGGTTGTCTTCAGCAAAGTTACGGCCGCTCTCACTTGCTTCTCGGTCGCTGCCTCGGCTGCAGCTGTGCCAGTCAAGAGCCCCCGTCAGGCCTTCACTGTAAGCCAGGTGAAGAAGACTACTACCGGCGCTAAGACTGTCAACTTGCCCGCTTTGTACGCCAAAGCACTGTCCAAGTATGGTGCACCGGTCCCGGCCGCAGTTCGCGCTGCTGCTGTGAGTGGCTCTGCCATTACCACCCCTGAAGGCAACGACGATGAGTACCTCACGCCAGTCAAGATTGGCGAAACCACCTTGAACTTGGACTTCGACACTGGCTCTGCTGACCTGTAAGTTGTTTTTTTTTTTTTCATATTTCCCTCCAGGACCGCAACTAACAGTTGATAGCTGGGTTTTCTCTTCCGAACTCAGTCCATCGGACCAGAATGGCCACGACGTCTACCAGATTGGCAGCTCCGGCACTAAGCTGTGGGGTTCTAGCTGGTCTATCTCTTACGGTGATGGCAGCAGTGCCAGTGGTGATGTCTACAAGGACACTGTCACCGTTGGTGGAGTCAGGGCCATTGGCCAAGCCGTTGAGGCTGCCCAGCAGATCAGCGAGGAGTTCGTGCAGGACACAAGCAACGACGGCCTGCTGGGTCTGGCTTTCAGCTCCATCAACACCGTCACCCCCGTGCCTCAGACTACTTTCTTCGACACCGTCAAGTCCAGCCTCGACCAGCCCCTGTTTGCTGTGACTCTCAAGCACGGTGCCCCTGGCACCTATGACTTCGGTTTCATTGACGAGAATAAGTTCATTGGATCTGTTGCCTTCACCGACGTTGACAACTCCGATGGATTCTGGTCCTTCACCACCGACAGCCACAAGATCGGCTCCGGTTCTACTGGCGGCCCTATCACCGGTATTGCCGGTGAGTTACATCTTTTCTTTGGACATCCATGACTGGTTCAGCACTGATTGTTTGAATTATAGATACCGGTACCACCCTTCTCCTGCTCCCTGACTCTGTCGTCGACGCCTACTACAGACAGGTTAAGGGCGCCCGGAACAGCGACTCTGCGGGTGGCTATGTCTTCCCTTGCTCTGCCAACCTGCCTGACTTCACTGTGACCATCAGTGGCTACGACGCCGTGGTTCCCGGAAGCCTCATCAACTACGCTTCCGTCAACCCTGGTAGCTCCTCCTGCTTCGGTGGTATCCAGAGCAACACTGGCCTTGGCTTCTCCATCTTCGGTGATATCTTCCTTAAGAGCCAGTACGTCGTTTTCGACTCTGAAGGACCTAGTCTTGGTTTCGCCGCCCAGGCATAAATCTCTTGATGGAATGGTACCCATGGAAAATCAGCGTCTCCTATGTGTGATGAATCTTGTACAGACAGTGAAGAGTGATGTGATACATGGATGATGGACATGTTTTCGATCAGCTAGTGAATTTTTAGCCCTTGACTTAGCCGAGCTTACATAAATCAATCTAATGGGCATGCAAGCTATGAAAGAGAGCAGAGAAAGTACGGAGTAGAGTACAGTAGTGTGCCCATTAGCGCCCGGAATTTGTGGAGGAGCCAATGCCGAGCCTTGAAATGGGCGGAGCGTCCCTCCAGATTTCCCACCTTAATCCTTCAATGCTCTTCTCACGTAGATTGTCACCCTTCTTTTGATCTTCACTTTTCTCTGTGATGCAAATTAGGGGAAAAAAAAACAGTTCTCGTCTTGTGCCTCTCATCTCACACCGCCGTGGCCATTCCTCCAACTCCAGACATCAATCGCACCCCCCCCCCCCCCCCAGTCCTTGGATTCGTAACGTCTGTACGCGACCAAAGCCAAGAATGGAAGTCTAAATAGTGAAGGGTCTTGTGACACGGGCGCGTCGGTGGAAATCGCGCTGTATATGAACTGTTCCAGGGACGGCGATTCAAGGCCGTTCACATCGAGTTCGATCATGGAAAATGATTTCCATTTGCTTCCCCGCCAGATCTGGGCGAATCCAACACCGACTACGACGAAGACTTATTTACCCGGTTGTACGCCTGTTGTCTTGCCTAGTAATGGTATGTGGTCTCCCCCTTTCCTCGAGATCTTGGTCGTCGGGCCGCAGGCTGCAGGCCGCCGGTCGCGGACTCGGTGAGGCCCTCCTTACAACCGTGTCTAATTCCGAGTTGCCAATTCTTTGCAGGACTCGTATACCTCAACAAATCATTTGCTATTACCCTCAGTGAAATCGCCATCTTCGAGCCTACCTGCACAGGCTTGCCAACTGACGATGTTCATATCTCCGCTGTCCTCGATACCCGCGATCCATTCTACTCCTCCATTACCCCACAGCTATATGCAATTGGCTGTGCAACTGTCGTTAGCTATCTTCTTGTCATCATCCTTTTTATCACACCGCGCACTTTTTATGTCGGCGGCCCCGGCGGCGGCGCTAATTTCCTCGGCCGCCATGGGATGATCAGCGGCTCATATACCGGGAACTCGTCGGTGGTCGGAGTCGGTGGGCGACCGTGGCTACAGAAAGTGGCCGCGATCTTGGTTGCGGTCTCGTTGACTATCGCCACGGTCGATTCCTTCCGAGTCGCCGAGAGGCAGTATGACTACGGGTTCTCCGATGCTGAGGCGCTTTCCCAGGAGGTTATTGACGGACTGGAAATTCGCATCGTGCGCGTCATATCGAGCACATTTCTGTGGCTTGCGCAGGTTCAGACATTAATTCGATTGTTTCCGCGACATAAGGAAAAAGTTATGATCAAATGGGCTGGGTTTGCGTTGATTGTGCTGGATACGACTTTCAGTATCATGGATAATTTTTGGGCAAGGAGCTCTCCGACACGACCCAGGCTATACGAGGATGCCATTCCTGCTTTAAGTTACTTGTTTGAGCTGTCCCTCAACCTTCTGTATGCTGCGTGGGTGATTTTCTACTCGATATCCAAGCATCGTTATGCGTTTTTCCACCCGAAGATGCGGAATATCTGCTTAGTGGCTCTTCTCTCGCTATGCGCCATTCTAATACCCGTCGTTTTCTTTGTTTTAGATATTGCGAAGCCAGAAATCGCTGGCTGGGGTACCTATATTCGATGGGTAGGTTCTGCCGCGGCCAGTGTGGTGGTTTGGGAGTGGGTGGAACGAATTGAAGCGCTGGAACGAGATGAAACCAAAGATGGGATTCTCGGGCGAGAGGTTTTCGACGGCGATGAAATGCTTGAGGTCACTCCGTCTGAAGAAGTTGACTGGCCACGTTTCTCGGGCCCAGGACACGACCAAGGTGGTGGCAGTGGCGCATCGTCTGGATGGGGCGGTGTCATGGGTTTAGCCCATCGACCTCTACGGGCCCGGGCTGTACTGCCTCGCGGTAATCGAAACAGAAGAGCCGGAGCACCACCATATAACCAAGCCGCTACGTCGGCACTGCAGGGCCCAAACAATGACCGGCCCACTCCACCCCCAGCGGCGATCACACCGATCAGCCGTGCCGATACTACTAGTGCAGCAAGTACAGTATACAATGTCCGGTACCATTCGGTGGCGAGTCCTACGCCTCCCGCCGCAATGCCAAATATGCACGAGGAGGAGGAATTGGATGAAGATAAGGAACTGGAAGGCAGGGTGACACATGCTCCTAATCCAAATGGTCCTGCCCTTTCTATTCAAAATACCCGAGAGCAGTCACCGCAGATTATCCAACCCGATCCGCGATGGCATGTTCTCCTGCACCCATTCAAGAGGCGACGTGCATCTCTGCCAAAAGAAGTGGCATCTGCACAAGCTGGGGAAGAATACTCAGAACATAGACCATCTACTGCAGCAGAAGAAGCCGAGGCAGAAATGAAAGCTGCGCGGTCTCGAGCTGACCACTTCTTTTCTCTCCATCGGAAACCCCGACTAGGCACGGGACCACAAAATGCCGACGGCGCCTTACCAGTTACCGTTATTCCAGCACGCCGCCGTGGCCAGCACACATGGTCACCGCAAAACCGACTGCTAGAGGATACTCGACCACCGGGAGAGAGCCGGCCAATAGAACCCCTTCACCACGAAACGCCCTCTAGTCGTCCCAATTTACCTGTGCGGGTGATTCCTTCTCGACCGCAAGCGTCTGCTCCATGGACGGAGGCAGATGTAGAGCGAGGAGGCGGAGACTATGTTCTACACTATGACCCCGAGGCTGCGGCACTGATCAATGAGGCCATCAGCCATCCTGATCGCAATAATCATGTCACAGATGACGACCAACAAAGTTGGACAGATACGACATACGAAGAAAGAGGTGATATGTCAGCGGAACCAACGGAACCATCCCACCCTGAGCACGGGCCCAACACACATGGCAACTCTTCTTAAAACGCCACTTTTAGACGTGTACGTTACCATTTGGGCATGGCTGAATGAGGCTAAGAAACTTGGCCATTGGGTAGGCAGGCATATTTTAGTCAGTTTTGGACATTGTTATTGGATCTTTTCATGGAGTACATATGGATTTGAGATTATTGGAAAGGTGTGAGAAATTCAACACCCTAGAAAGATACCCCATTATAAGTTTGAAATTGAATCTAATCATCGCAATACGCTGCTACTGCATTACTGTATTAAGAGCCAATGATGACAATCAGTGATCTCTACTTGGTTCTACGGAATGGAAGAGTGGCTGACCAACCTTGTGAGAACAAGGATTACCAAAGTGGAGACGAAATTTCACTCGGAAACTAGCGATCCCGGTGTCTTTTCCCCATATTCTTTGTATCTCCATGTGACAACTCGCTATAGGCGTCGCATCATGGCGGCCGTCAATCGAAATATGTTCGAAGTGAGCATAACACAACCGCCTGGCGGTGCCCAGTTGATGGTTCTGCCGTTGAATCTCATCGCGGAGATTGTGTCACATGTAAGAGGGAGAACTCCGCACACCTCACTTCCATCTCTAACATGCCCGTAGGTTGACGACACAGGAGATCTCGCCCGGCTATGTCGGACATGTCGGGTCCTCAACTATATGGCGTTGCCACAGCTATACCGGAGCCTAACGCTGACCTCCTACGACAAAATTCGTTATCGCGGTGAACAACCAGAAGGAATAGGGAGCGCCAGTCCCTTCACGATGGGGTTGAATGCGATCATTACGCGATCCTATGCAACACTGGTACGATCGATGACACTACGCGGGGAATGGAAGGGACATGAGCTGGAAGAGCATGCCCGAGTCGGCCGGGTGCCCGACGCATCAATGCTGTTGAACATTGCCGCCCGTGCTGCGGTAGATCGCATGACTAATCTGGAGAGCTTCCACTGGGAACTGAACACCAAAATGCTCGACACGGTTTATACAGGGCTGACCCAGCTGCCGAAGCTCACATCCTTGACGATCCGGTTTCCATCGAGTCGTCACCCACAGCCCACTTTCGTGATACCGGGAATGCCACATTTGCGATGTCTGAAAATCACCGATATCGACCCGCTATGCTACCCCGATGACATAGCGACTCTTCTTTGTAAAAGTAGGAACTTGTGCGATTTGAAATTACATTGGTCGCCACGAATGCGAGATGCGCACGAGCCGAGTGTCTCTCTGCATGATTACTTCCGCAAGCTGATCGCAAGCAAGCGACCACTGACGGTCAAGAAGCTGTCATTCCAAAATCTGTATGCCTTCCACACCGACGATTTCAACTACGCTTTCGATCCGACTACCGTCGAAGATGTTACATTCCTCAGTGGTGTTGAGGGCTCTAGTCTGGTCAACACATTCATCGAGAGTAGCTGGCCGAGAACTCCACCCCATGCAAAGCTTCACATGAAATCCGTTCGGGTGGATGCAGTGTCAAAACGGAATTCGGAGTTCATTGGGAATTTCTTTGGCCTCGAGCGGTTATACTTCGTCAATGTCACATCGGAATCAAGCGATCTGCTCAATTGCCCACGACCCGGAGGAGGTGCAGTCTCATCGGCGCTCACGCCCCCAACATCCGAATACCCTTTGTCTGGTGCGCCCAACGGAACGGCAACCAATGCAACCAACTCCCCTATCGCTTCTGCCTCTCCAGTTAGTCAGCTCAATGCTATGGCTAGCATGCGAGACCTCTATCTCTCACACATTACCACAAATCATGGCGCATCGTTGCGCCATCTACTTCTCCCCTCTAGATGGCCTCTCTCCACTGGGATGATCGCGCGACTCGTCCACAGCTGTCCGAATTTGGAACAGCTCGCCCTCGCAACAGAATTTACCAGTCTGGAATCACTTGGTCTACTAATACCCTTCCTCCGGAATTTGAAGGCGCTTCGACTTCTCATTCCCCAGTCTTCCGGACAATCTGCTAGTTCTTCTCTGAGGACATCCCCAACTGCACGAGGAACGGCAGTATCTGATCTAAGCAAGGCGATGCAAGAGACTTTGGCGAATGCCAAAACACTCGCAGAGGTGGTGGACATCGACGACTCAATTCTAACGGAAATGCTGAGTTACGAGCTTGCCAACAAGCAAGTCTTCGGAAACGTGAAGGTCATCAGCATGGGCTGGAAAGCCTGGGAACTGCGGGATTTCTACAAAGCACCCATCCCACTCGGGATCCACAAAGGGTCCCCAACACCAACCAATAACGAAAATGCATCCCCGGAGACAACGACAAATAGCCCTGTTCTCCCGCAAGGCCCCAGTGGCACTGGATTCAACACACCGTATCAGCCTATTGCCACCTACAAATCACCCGATACGCAGGCAACACAAATTTCCTCTTGGACCAATCCAAGACGCGGCGTCCTACCGCCATCAATACTAGGGAAACGATCACGAGACCGAGATGAAAGCGAAACTCCCAGACCACCAACTGGCTGCCCGTTTACCTTCGATAGGCGTGAAGGTAGTGAAGACGCGACGGCTGCCTACGCCGGCTGCTACCCGTACACTCTAACCGATGATGGTTTTGTGTGGAGACGGCGTGCACGACGGGTGGGATGGGAGGTGTTGAAGCATTGGGAGGTGTGGGCGCTGGATACGCAAGAGATTTGAGATTGTCCTTTGCATTCTCGCGTCATGATACAAAGGAGTTTGGCATACCAATGAGCGATGTTTACTTTTTTACCCCACGGCTTGGGATTTCGGGAGGTTCTAGTTTAGAGTCAAAGCGGGTTATGTCCTGTGCTCTCGGCGTTGGAAAAGTATATATATATATAAAACATAGGGAGACATCTCCTCTCCATCGGGCTTATGTCCCTCTTATTTATAAATTGTATTCTAGGTTAAAATGCTAATCGAGGAAACAAGGGAGGTTGGTCCGTCCAGTCTTACCTAGAGTTGTTATTCAAATTTACAGGGCCGTAAGGATCTTGTAGTTTAGCAACATCAAGAACCCTTGTAGGTGCCTTCAGAGCACTTCCCATTCATGTGTTTCCATCCTTTGACGACGATTTAATGTGCCCGGAGTATTCTGCAAAAATTCAGCGGCGAATGAACGCGCTTGTCCGCTTGGTCAATCGATGTTTCATAGCGAAGCGAGGTCTTCAATAGTCCAAGCACCACTCCACTGCTGGCGAGAAGTCTAGGTGTTACAAGATATTGCACTTGGTTTCAGTACCTTCTGAAATGCCTGGGAGAGTCTCATGATTGTCGAGGATTTCCCAAAGAATTGGGATGTTGATGTTGTACATCCCCTGCGCGTCCTTACACTTCAACAATGTCATTGAGAGTTCCGTCATAGGACAAAAGAGCCAGATTTTCCAATATGATTACCGCATTTCAATTCCGCATGTCTAAGTATGTTGCAATTCATTTGGCCATGACTCAAAATTGAGGCTGACGATTGTGAGGACGCTTGCGGGAGCGGTGGCGAGGCCACCCTCCTTGCTGTAGGCCGAGCGCAACAGCCTTCCGGCTGTCTTTGACCCTCGCATAGGAGTGTCAAAACCTGTTCAAATCATTATGAATCACACATTATCTAATTGGGGTGCGAGGGACTAGTCAATGTCGTGGGTTTGGTAATTGGACGAATCGAATTTCTGTGGGTGGTATCCAGGGGATTGAGGTTTCCAGAAAGAGCGTGCTTTTTTAAGACCTGGAAAGGCAGGAAGCTAAACGACGACGAGCTCATAATGTCGTCAGCTCTCTTCACAAAAGCCATTAAATGCTTCGTACTAGAGACTGTCCTCCACCTGACCAGAGAGCGTAGATATGTGTATCCACCAACCCTTTCCGCAAGACGGGTTTCAAAGCAACGGTTGTAGCAACCCACCCTCGGAATGGCCCAACTGTGGCGACCTCAGATCCGATAAGGCTCATCGTGGAGGTCGAAGGCCAGAACTGAATGCTCCGACCAGCGCTGCTTGAAGGTCAGTAGGGCTGGGTACCGTCGTGCGAAACTTTTTACAACCTCGTCGGTGACAACGTTTTCGTGTCCAATCTCGACTTTCTCGAGATTCGGAAAGAGAACCGATGAGAAAGCCCGGGTTGATTTTGGTGTGGACCTACATGGACCTCAACAACCTTGGTAATGTTGATGTCTCTATGTATAGGTGATACACATTCCTCTGCCTGCGCTGTCCCGGGGGATACGGAGAGATGGTGGTCGAGAGGGCTGAGGAGAAAGAAAAGAAGAGGAAGGGAGTGTCCTTTTATACAACCAACACGTACCTTCCTAAAATGGACACTGGCCCTATGCACTTTCCCTAAGAACTCCGTGTCACATGATATCTGCCAAGGATTCTTTTCACGATGCAGATGTGAGGCAAACATCATTCTGGTGGATGTCGATTCTGATCATCTTGCGGTCTTCCCTAATTGCGCTGCAAGTCTGCATGTCATTTTGAAATCTGCAACTCCGAGGAGAAGGGGGCGTTATACATGAATCAAACACCAGTTTGGCAGCCATCTGACAGCTCGCACTCTAGAGCAAGCTACTATTCAATTTTTTGCAATTCCTCGGGGCCAATCAGAGATAACAGCAAAGCACTTGCAAAGGAAGCCAACTGCACGGCCACACATTCCCAGAATCTTATCCCTGCCTTTATCAAACTGAGGATGTTAATCTCGTACCCGTTATCTGAACTCGATGAGGACTGGTGGAAATCAAAGGGCTGTTGAGCGGTTGGATATCGTTGAAAGAAAGAGGCGATTGACAATGGAACGGGAGCAGCCGAGACCCACCAGTCTACTTCCAGGAGGTCCATATATTAGGTATGAATACTGGGATCGGAAGTGGTAGTTGGGGGGGGGGGATTGATCTTCAAACGAAAGATGTCTGAAATACTACGTCCTTACCCCAAATCAGCAAGTTCCAGCAATGTGCAGTCAGAAAGTGGCTCCACTCCTCGGGTCTTTCCCACTTCGTTCAAAAGGGCCGGGATAATAGCCACTGTGAGTCGACATATTTCCTCCTTGCAAATGCGTGTGTACACATGCAGGCCTCGTGTGAGAGAGTGGAGATAGTGAGCGTGCCAGGACGAAAGCAGGAAATGGCGAACACAAGTTAAAATTGCTACGTAGTCTGTATTTCAGTGTTACCTCGCAGACTAAAATGTTGGTCGTCTCAAATGCATATCTGTGGATGATATAGCAATTCGTTATTCGTTGGTAACAAGTGTGGAGGCAGATGTTGACGTTGGTGGCCTTGCAATCGAGGCACCAAAATGTCACGTCAAAACCCCCTGGTGTCTACATGCCATTGAAGCAAACCCTTTGATGAGGAAATTAAGGTCGAAATCGATCTTTTGGAGGCATTTCCAAAAAATATCAGAATCCAGGTCAGAAAATCTGGCTTCGAAAGTGGCCCTTTGACTTGAGAGCTCAGTCGGTTTCTGCCAGCCTATATTTTCCTCGCCCCAACCACCTCATGCACCATACCAAGAATGCTATGGCGTTCTGGTTTGAGACCGGGCAAGGCATCCAACTTATTATCTTTCCTCAATCACCCGCAAAAAGCTTTCAATGCCTGGTTTCAATGCGTTGCTGAACTGTTTACCTTAAGTCAGACTTGCCCCTTTTTGAATACAGTACATCCTGATTCAATCAGCCCAAGGTTTGCGAGAACCTTTATGGACTACACGGTTTATTCGGCTTTCCAAATGTTTTAGACGCAAATCACGCGGGATTTTAGAGTAAGCTCTGGCTACCAAATGCAGTACCTTGGAAGCTAACGTACGTTCTCTAGTGACCTCGTGACACACAGAGAAGTTTCGATGATGCGAGTAATGGACACCGTCACAGACAAGTTCTGGGGTGCAAACTGATCTGTGCTATACGTAATCGCATTCACCGTGTTAACTTCTTCCCGGTATTCGACAAGCACATCACTTCCGAATGGCGCAAGGGAATCTCCAAGAGCGGACAAGATGTGACATCAAAGAGCTGCGGTGGAAAGCTGGAGTTTTACGAAAGACAAAAGTGTCGCTATTTTCGATTAAGGCGTCGCCAAATTTGTAAACGCTATTTCCAGTCAACTACGGCAGGGCTTGAGATAAGCGGCAGCTCTTTTTTTGAACATGTACCTGCGGCCCAAAAGGACTACTATCTTGGATCCGATCAGAAAGTTGTGAACCTGTTTCATCCTTTATTTTAGCAGTCGTCTAGGCTCGAACTCGAGTTTCCCCTGACCTAGTCATCGGCGTTGATGACTGTCTGAGCAGTAAGACAAGGTACTTTGATCCCAACTCCCTAGGAAGAAAAGAGAGCTCGATCGATTTGGAGCATGGCTCTCATGTGATGTAGTTATCAAGAAAAACTCCCGATGTGAAAAAACAGATTACGTCGACAATGCTCATGCAATCGACTATCGAGGACTTATATGCTACTATGGAAGGCATCGTTCCAGAAGAAAAGAACTTTGGGTGTAAAATCAAGCCCTTTAATCAACAATTTTCATACAATTGAGCATTGGGGACTGAATCATGTGGTCGAAAGGGTTATCGCGATAGTGAGTCTGCTTTAGGATCTGTCCATGAACAGAAGGGCGTAATGTTAACAAAGAATCCTGTATACAAAGGTTGAGTGCGGGGATCCCGTAGGATCAGAGCCTATGCACCCTCAAGCGGCCGTCGATGACTTTGTTGAATGTGGGTACCTGGAGCAGTACGAGGGCTGGAAGTTTTCCCGCATACTGCTCCTCGAGCCAAGCAATTTCGAGTTTCTTGAAGTTTGTGAAGAGTTTTAGGTCAAAATGAAGGAGCATCGGCGAAATTGGACTACGTGTGAATGTAAAATCGGCAAATATCGAACCGACCCCCGAAAACCTGACTATATAGGGGAATCTGGCACAAAATGGGTCAACTGCTGAGCCCCATTTGCTCTTTTCTTGAAGTAACGATTTACCTAATCTCAACTTAGACTGAGCGCATATGTGCAACGGCAGTCTACTCTCATGGCAATCAAAACATCACTGAAAGCTTGTTGTCATTCCGGCAAAGAGGTAGCCAGATGGACGACACGACGTTCGGTACGAACAAGATCGACACGACTTGCTCCAACATGTTTACTGCTTAGGTTTGAAGGACTTCAACGAAACTGAAGTTATGTAAGAGCATGGAGGCGTGGCTTGTCAAGAGGGTCGACTCCTGACATTTCACAATTCCGGTCAGCATAACGTATCCCCATTTTCGTCAGCCGACAGATCAAAAAGCGCACATCGCAAGATCCTCGCACTGTTTGTCGTCAATCCTCATAAAATGTGTGATCTCATCTGCCAGTGTTCCTCCACAGCGAGAGGACCGGCTGCCGGAAATATCGAAGATTGTGAATAGCATACATTCACATGCTTGAGCAAACTCGCCGGATACACCTGGTCAAGATGTTCTCAGCCCGGTGATGAGCGCGAAAGGGGCAGAAGCTTACAGACTTGAGCTTAGAGACAAACGCAGTGCCAAGGCTGTGGAATACAACAAACTCTTTGAGTCTGGAGAATTCAGCCTTTGTGAGCGTTAGGGGGTTGTTGTGTACTCAGGAGAACACATCCGGTACCCAAAGGGCTGGACTTGAGCTGATATGAAAGCAGAAAAAGCAGTGACAAATGAAGATATCCGAAAATAAGGGGTATAATCTTCTGCATTCGACCTCTTTTGGTTGCCTTTTTACCCAGTCCGGCGACTTGGAAGTTACTGCGGTAGTGTCGGCAACCATCCACGTGGTGGCCCATTTTGATGTATCCCTGAACAACCTCCATGAACCAGAATACAGGATTGCTTCGAGACGTTGTGGGTCTGTTCGAACTGGATTGGACAAATTTTCAACCTTTAAGATGTCCGAATGGAGCGCGATGTGATCGGCATTTTTACCTGCTGTGGGGAATGAGGCATCACTCTGGAACCTTACAAGTTCCCCTCACAGATGTTTCTTTTTGCTTTCGGTTTCATTTTCACAGCTGATTGGTTCAGATTTCACTGGAGAGGGTGGCGGTTAGACCGGCTGAGACACCTCCGCTCTTGCGACTTGGCGGGGTCGAGCCCCCGCTTATCCGCCCCAGAAGGCCCTCAGATTGGACTTCAGAGACCTTCTGAATTTCCAGATTTTCTGGTGTAAAGTGAATAGCAGATCAAAAACTTCAAGGTTGCAAACTGTCTCATGATGTCGTCGATCAAGTGGAATTCAGCCCAAGGCTTTACGGTTCCAATTGGAGAAACAGCTACCCCTACCACTACCAATCCCATGGCTCCAGCAATCTTCCTTGGAGTGAGCTAGCTATTTTGCCCGTTACGAGACAAAAATTGCTTAATGGCGTTAGGTGAATTGGTTCATGGGGAGATTGGAGAGACGACCGTCATCATCAAGGCTAACAACCAAGAATGCAATCGACCCAGCAAGGGCCCAGAGCTATCAGCACAAAGCCTTGGAATGACTCCAATCTTTCGGAGCCCTCGACCTTGATGATCCTTCTACTTGGACCGAAGAAAACTGGCCTATCCAAAGCAAAGTGAAGAAGTTCAATGGGTACTCTGTCACCCATGGGGAAATGTAGTTGGGATACTGGCATGGAGGCACAGATCTTCAAGGCATTCGCCACGATATGGGGTACGAATCACTCGTCTCGTTGTATTGAATATCCGTCTGCCAAACCAAAAACACAAGCCTGCTCAAAAGTCATGGCCCCACGTGGACCAGTCTCCGTTCCGTCGCGGGCTCCACTGTATTCAGGGCAATATCAATCTAAGCCATGCGGGTCCCGACGATGGATCCCTCATGGTGTTCCCGAGGTCGAACACAGTAACCAAGAATTTCTTCGATACTGAGACGGATCCATCTACCTGGGAGTCGAAAGGACCTACGCCTATTTAGGAAGGACTCCAGTGGTTTGCATATCGTATGACACCATCCAAGGTGCTTGCGGGGCCTGATTTAATTCCGTAGGATTCACGTACTGTGCACGGAGGAACCATCAACAGCAGTCTCCGAACGGTGATTTATACATCATACGCCTCTGTGTCAGTTAGCCACGAACGAGAGGTTGAAGAAGAAAGAAGCTTCCAAGTGTCAGACTCAATGGCCACACACTGAGATCGGGATCTGAGTTATAGAGAGGCATCTCCCGGATGCCAGTGATCCCCACAATCGATTTGTACCGAATTGCCAGAGCATACAGATCGGTCGCTTCAACTAGCAGGAGTGAAGTCTTGTCGGTAAATAAATGTCACTCTTTTGTTTTTTTCTGTGGTGATTCAGGCTTAGCACATTTGATTATTAAGGGGCCAGTTTTTGGACGTTAGGCTGACCCCGCAGCCTCTTGACGTCGATCTTCCGTCTTGCTCACAAGGCAAATATGAAATCATTTGAATCTCGCCCTCCCGTGGATTATCCACGGAAGCGTGCATCAATCGCATGTAATTTCTGTCGACATCGGTACGGTTTCAATTCCTCTTGGTGGACGGTCACTAAAGTAGACCAGGAAACGAAAGTGTGATGGTCAAAAGCCGACATGTGGCCTCTGCGCCGATGCGGGGGCTCAATGTGTCTATCAAGAAAGCGACAGGTAGAGAGTGTCACCTCGTGAAAAGAGTTCCTAGATAGTGACGATCCATAGGGTGCAGGATATCCCGGCTGAGATCCTGCTACGCTTGACCCATCTGGAAACCCTGATCGAGCAACAAAAGGACGCCATCACCGAGCTCTCAGCCCGAGTAGCCTCTTCATCGGATCATCCGGGTCGGTCGGCCTTCTCTATCTATCCGTCCCAGCCAAAATACGACTGGGATCCATCATCGGAGCATGTATACGATAAAACCTTTGTTCTTTTTTCACCGGAGAACACCTACGGTCATGAATATGCATTTACTGTTCCCCTCGGTCATCATCCACCCACTGGAAGCCTATTTGCGTTGGATCGAGTCAAAAATTTGGTTGGCAACTACCCGCAAGACTTTTTCAAGCAGATCGAGAAAAACCGACCATTCAACAGCATTCAGGCCGCAGGCATACCTCAGAACTTTGAGCAAATCGACAGATCTCGACTGCATCCCCAGGTCACCAAACCCCTGATCACGGAGTTCCTCCACCATGTCCATCCATTCTTCCCAATTGTCGAGCCGCAGTTGTTACATATGCTCTTTGACACCTTCTCAACATACACCAAGGTCAACAGCATCCAAACGTCCCTCTATCTCGTTATTTTGGCTCTAGGAAAAGCATCTTCGAATCCTCAGCAAATTTTCGATATCGAAACGGACCAAGATTTGAATGGGATGGAATATTTCGCCTGCGCATATCACTACTTGAACAATATGTTGATAACGTCCTTCACAGCGGACCACTTGCTGCCTTTGGCTTTATTCTACGGCTCTTTATATTTGCGTCACATAGGACGCCCGATCCAAGCATGGCAGATGATTCGGAATGCGTCCGGCAATGTGCAGATCATGATTGCCGAGTGAGTGTCTTCTTCGCTGATGCGTCTTTCCCGCCGGGATACTGATATACATCGAACACAGACTACATGACATGAACACACACGAAGAGCGAGCTAGTCTCTACCGGATTGCTTGGGGTTGCTTTATTCTCGAATGGTTGGTAGTACTCTCTAGGGATTATCTTAGATCCAGCTAACCGCCCCGCCCCAGTGACGATCTCGCCGAGTTCCATTTCCCTTCCAGTGGCATTGAATTCCTCGTCGATCGATTGCCCTTTCCTCGAATTTCGGAAGATAGCCGAAATGGCCACCTGGTCTTCCTCGCCATGTGCTCGATTCGAAAGCTTCTCAACCGTGTGCATAGTGCTCTGTATTCAAAATCCGACCAGGAGAGTTTCCATGCCAGCCCTCCGCCTCAACAACCTAGTGACACCCCCAGTGCGACTTCCCAAAATCATTCGATTACATCTCTCAAGACAATCAGCGAGGAGCTCGATCGGCAATTGGAGGACTGGTTTGGTTCTCTCCCAAATCCCATCAGGCCAACCCTCGGCAATACGATATCCGCAGATCACCCTTACGATACGTACATTCTCGCCCGGTACTATGTCACAAAACACATCATCTGCCGCCCGAGCCTGGTCTTTGCCGCCCACACCCAGAGCAGTACGGTGTTGCCGGAGTTTGTTTTTGCGAATTGCAAGAAGTGTGTCGACGGCTGTCGCAAATTCATCTGGGCGGCATCGATTCTGATGCGGCAGAGGATGCACTCGAGCTGGCACAGAATGCAGGCGTAAGATCATCATCCGGCTTCTGAAGTCCACGTAGTTAACGAATCTAGAATCTTGGCTGCCATTGTCACTCTCTCGACTGCGAAAACCACGCCGGCTCTAGAGGCCCTTGTTCCGGACTTCGATGATCTAGTGAAAGAAGCAATTCAATGCGTTGAACTATGGGCGCAGCATTGCGAAACGGCAGATACAGTTGTCAGCATGCTGAAGACTATCCGCCAGAAAGTGCGAGTATTGGTTCGGGGATCTTAGTAGAGGGCCTCTCGATCTATGCTTGAATACATAGCTATACAAATTTTGTTGCTTCGCCATGGCCTGTATATTTGTTAACCTGAATGCGCCGAAGATCATGGAGGCATTCATAGTCTACTGAATATATTGGTTGTTTCACAGTTGTTCATGGTGGGATTGTTATCAGTATCCCCCCCCGCGCTGCGGGGAACTGGGGACTTCGGGAAAGGGTTCAACTCGGACAACTCTCTAATTGCGCAAAAGCATGTCTCCACCACGACTAACGAGCTAAATTAGTTTCATTCATGGGGTTCGGCTCGCAGGGGAGATGTCCACCTGGGACATCCAGATTGAATACCCCGCAGACTCTCCACGGGGCACAATCACCTCTGTGACCCCGCGTGAACCCTCTACTAAGGAAGATGTTGAGTCTCCTCTAGCATTACCAGCCTTAACACACTCTCACATTCACCTTGATAAAGCCTTCATCCACAGTACACCTGAATATGCTCCATTTCTGCCTACAGCTGGCACTTTCCAGGAGGCGTTGTTCTCCACAACCAAGGCCAAACAACAATTCAGCCATTCTGATCTCATTAGAAGAGGGGAGTGGCTTCTTTCTGAGTTCGTTTGATCTGGTGTCACGGCAATGACAACGTTTGTGGAGGTAGACCACACAGTGCAGCTGATTTGTCTAGAAGCTGCTGTTGTGTTGAAACACCAATGGGAAGATTCTTGCGACATCCGAATCGTCTGCTTTGCGCAAGATCCTATATTCTGCAGCGAATATGGAGAACAGAACATGATCTATCTGGAAACTGCTCTTGACACGTATTCGCAAATCGGTGTTATCGGGACAACCCCATGCGTCGAATCCAGTGCCGAAGCTGCAAAGCAAAATATCGAATGGGCAATTGATCGTGCCTTGCAGCTCAACAAGCACGTCGACTTCCATCTCGATTACAGCCTTGATTCAAACAAAGAAACTCTAGTTTGGCATGTCTTACACACCCTCAAACAACGAAGATGGACTGCCCGCTCAACAGACAAGCGTGTTATGCTTGATCATTGTACGCGACTGACCCTACTCACTGAGAATGAATGGGCCCAACTGGCAACCGAAATCCACGAGAATGAACTTTCAGTCAGCTTCGTGGATCTCCCAACAAGCGATATGTACATGGCGTCCCCTCCTGGAACGAGCGGGGACTGCCAACCACCACAAAATCGCCCGAGAGGCACTCTACAAGTCCTAGAGATGATCCGGAAACACAACTTGGATGCAGTGATTGGGGTGAACAATGTTGGCAATCCGTTTACCCCATGGGGCTTGCCCGATCCGTTCTCATTAGCTTGACTCGGTGTGGGAAGGAATCTACCAGGCTGGAAGCCAGGCGGATGCTGAGCTACTCTATGAATGTGTCTCTACACGAGCCAGGGCGGCTATTGGGCTCTCGCCAGCCCATTCGGGTCTACGTGTAAAGCAGGGGTGCCGACCGGACCTGTTGGTAGTTTATCACAGGGATGACATTGGGTGCGGTGTGTCTCGGCCGCGAACAAATGTTGCAGAGGCTGTGTGGACTCCGCCAGGGAAATTGAATAGAGACGTGATTTTGGGCGGACGACTTGAGATTTCTCCTTTTGTTGTTACGGATTCAGATGCTCTGTATCAAATTTGATTTTTATGTTATGCGGCAGTAGGCATCGAAGAAAGTAGTTGTATATACATAACGGCCAAAGGATAGGATCAATCATCCATGCGAGTTAGGGTGATTAAAGACATGAAACAACGCATTTCAGCGAATCGCTAATTTCAAATTCGTGCAAGCATCCATCAACCCCGCCCCCTTTTCGATTAATAGAAGTCTGCAGGAACTCGTGGACCACTCCGGCATTCTGAATCTTCAAATCTCACAAAACAAAGACGCAAGGCAGGGCTAATTGGTTGTCTTCGGCCGCAAGGCATAGAACTGCACAGGCATGAGATTCAAAGACTTAGGGAAGCCCTTCTGGAGTTCCGACTTGATGATCTCCATACCAGCTGCCTCGAAGACCTGTCTGAACTTGGCATCTGTCCTTGTGACACTGCTATCTTCACTGTCGTACATATCCTTTCCAGAGAAATGGGTAGACAGGTTCTCCTTGACAACCATAAGGCCGGTTGGAGTCAACGCCTTGCGACACCGCACGGTATAGTCAAGGAGCTGTGAATCGGTGAGATGGCCCGCACACCACTGGACCCAGATCAAATCGTATTTCTTCTCCGGGGTCCAATCTTCCAGGCCACACGTGTAGATGGTTCCAATTATGCCGTCTCGTTTCAACTGGCTGTCTTTCATCACTTGTGTGAACTTGGCTACCGGCTCTACCGCATCTACCACCTCACAGACATGGCTCAGGAAGCCCTCTGTCACCCGGCCGATACCGGCACCGCAATCCACACCTTGGTGGAATTTTCCCTCGGATGGAACACCTGGCAGTAACCGGCGGACCTTGGCTAGGAAGGATTTAGACCCTTGTAGGTCAATGCGTGTTACTGACGGGAACTCGCCCAGCATGCTGCCCGTGGTGGCTGGGACACTGTTCCAGTATGCCAAGGAAGCGGCATGGTTGATTTTGGAATCGGCGGGGATTGAGTCTGTCATGTTGGAATTTGTGACAATACTGGCCCGAGGACTTGTTTCTCGGAACGATTGAATCTTCCTTCGAGGCAGGACTGTCTTGGGTGATGATTGTGTCACAGGAAAATCTACGCCCATTTCCATCACGTGACCACCAAATGGCAACGCATCTCGTACGTTTTAAAAAGACGTTCGAACAAAGCTCTCGTTCACTATCTTCGTGCTTAAATACAATCATTTATGGTGATTGGTTTGATTTGTCCTCGCCATGTTAAAGTGTTTCCCTGAATTCTTGGCAGTTCGACTTTAATTGACCCTACTTGACAGCAAAGATGTGATACGTTGGAGAGAGAAGAAAAAAACCAAAAAAAACACACGGGCTGTACTTGTGATCGACAGGGATAGAAGTAGAAAACTCTCCATGTTAATTGAAACTTCTTAGGGAGGAATTACGTGTACCTGCTGGGGCCAGTTGAAACGACTTTTTGATTGGAAGTGCCCATAGCGTCTCCATAAGGGTGTAAACTGCCGATCGTTCATAAATCGTGTCTTTCCCCTTATCTCCCCGTCAAACCACTTTTTTTCCTACTCACCACAGTCATTCCTTTATACTGTTCTTTTTTTTTTTTAACACCATGGCAAACGATCGGACGGATGAGCGTAAGCTCGAGAGTGGTTCTCCTGCTCCAAAGGACAACGGCCTCCACCCCGGCTTCTACATTGCGTATGTACCTGTGCCGTCAAGGTCTTGTCCAGAAGTAAACTAAGATTCGACCTTCTAGCTTGTGGATTGCTCTGAGTTCCAGCGTCATCCTGTTCAACAAATGGGTTCTTGCGAGCGCCAAGTTCAGTATGGACTCCTTCTCTCTGATCCCCTTTATTCGTGGACGTTGCAGCTAACTTTGAGATTGATTCTAGACTTCCGTGAGTCCCTTCGCCGCCAATTCAAGATTGAACTGTGTCCGGGAGAACTCAATTACTGACATGAGATACCAGCGCTCTTCTTGACGACCTGGCACATGGTGTTCGCCACGGCAATGACCCAGATTCTTGCCCGGTTCACCACCGTGCTTGACTCCCGCCACAAGGTTCCTATGAACCCGGCCACCTATGCGTGAGCAATCCCGTTGATTCAATCTGGAATAGCTAGCATGGCTGTAATCCGACCCAAATGCTTGATGACTGACCGGTGGACTTGTGTAATACAGACGTGCCATTGTGCCCATTGGTGTCATGTTCAGTTTGAGTTTGATCTGCGGTAACTTGGCATACCTCTATCTGAGTGTTTCCTTTATCCAGATGCTTAAGGTGCGTTTGAACCAGGAGTTTCGGCCTCAATTGCGATCTTCGTCCCCTCTCTCGAAGGCTATGCTCGACTTCTTGCTAACACCACTTTTCAGGCTACCAACGCTGTCGCAACCCTTTTGGCTACCTGGGCTTTCGGAATCGCTCCTACCAACTTGAAGACTCTCGGCAATGTGGCTCTCATTGTTGTCGGTGTTGTGATCGCCTCGTTCGGCGAGATCAAATTCGAGATGGTCGGCTTCCTTAGTATGTGGCAGATTATCGTCTCGCTTTTTTGACACTCCAAGCCTAACAACCATACAGTCCAGATTGCCGGTATCGTGTTCGAGGCCCTTCGTCTTGTCATGGTTCAGCGTTTGCTCAGTTCCGCCGAGTTCAAGATGGACCCCTTGGTCTCTCTGTACTACTACGCCCCGGCCTGCGCAATCACCAACGGTATCGTCACCCTCTTTGCCGAGGCTCCCCGTCTGACCATGGGTGATATCTACGGTCTTGGTATCGGAACTCTCGTTGCCAACGCACTGGTTGCTTTCCTTCTTAACGCATCCGTTGTTTTGCTGGTACGTTAGTTGATCTCATTGTCTCCATTCTGTCACTAACACCCCACTAGATTGGCAAGACTTCTGCTGTGGTCCTGACTATGGCTGGTATTCTCAAGGATATCCTCCTTGTCGCTGCCTCCATGTTCATTTTCCGCGACCCCGTCACTGGCCAGCAGTTCTTCGGTTACTCCATTGCCCTGGCTGGTCTGGTGTACTACAAGCTCGGTGCCGACAAGTGCCAGAGCCTTGCTACCGATGTGCGCCTCCAGGTTGGGGAGTACAACCGCAGCAACCCTGTTCGCGCCAAGGCCATTCTCATCGGTGTGCCTTGCGCTCTCATTCTGTTCGTTCTCTACAGTGGTAGCTCCGCTCCCGTTGCTGCTCAGGTGACCCACTAAGCACGAATGCGCGTACATTGGCGAATTGAAGCAATCGATGGAAATCTGGAACACGCGGAGTCCATTCCGCGGGGGCCTATTGTTTCACGAATTCCAGCTCGGGTAATTAAACCCGATGCTTATGTTAAATTTTTTTTGATAAAGATCATGTCTTGTCTTGTCTGGACAGGACCGAACATGCATGTAAAGTTAAGGGACGTGGACGATATCTAGCTGTTCTTATTGGGGATAGGATTTTATAATCAACGGCTGTACGAAATTGATATCCTGTGTCAAATCGACATTTCTTCCTAACAATTCCATTGTGCGGTACAATCGTTCCATTTCAAGATGTCGGGTGGATCTCTTCCTCGGCGATGAACGACGGTACGGTGTATCACCATCTCACCTCTCGCAGGGATAATGCGTGAACCAAAAATCTTCGTTGGGCCATTACAAGCAGCCTCGACAGCAAAAGTAACAGCATAGGCAGAAAACCCGACTGCAAGTCTTCTGCTGGCAACAGGGGCCCATCTAACTGCGCCAAAGCCGCAACGCCAGACATCCACGCGAACATGATCGTACGAATATCACGAGTAACCAAAGCCAAGTAGTCAACGGTGTAAATAGCCGATAGCAGAGACGCTGTGTAATAGAGCTCAATGTGAACCTGTCAGCTTGTTGTAAAAGCCGTTTCAGAACTGTAAAAGCCCTAGTTGTGCGTAGAGGGGGCTGTTTTTGGTGTGGCCGTGGATGGAAATGTGTCATTGTTGCGCGGGGACCTGTCAATGTCTGCAATTTCCATCTTTCCAAACATTCAACCTACCTTTGATATCTGTCAGTGGCTTCGCGTGTGTTTGAACTCAAGTGCTGAAAGCGGCAAAAACAACATTTTGTCCATGGCAATCAATCGAGGGATTGTTGTCATCTCAGGCGGGAGTGCGGCGAACAATCTGGTCGATGTATTCAACGCCGTCCGTGAAAGCAAGAACTGTTCACTTAGCTATATCATTCCAATCAGTGATAATGGAGGATCCTCTTCCGAATTGATTCGAATCTTCGGCGGCCCTGGGATTGGTGATGTACGGAGTAAGTCCAACACCTTGAATCGCCCCTAACTCGCCTGCTAACTTGTCGGACAGGTCGACTGGTACGCTTGATACCGGATTCGCCAGCAAATCCTGAGAGGTCAGCAGTCAAGGCATTGTTTAACCATCGGTTGTCTGCGGATACAGGTATCGCAACCAATGAATGGCAGTCCATCGTGGACGGCACATCTGGGCTATGGACAGCCATCACCCCCGCAAAGAAAGAGTTGATACGCTCATTCTTCAATGTGTTAAACCTGGAGATTCTGAAACGAGCTCGACCGCCATCATCCACCTTTGATTTCACCTCTGCCAGTGTGGGGAATCTTTTCTTGACTGCCGCTCGGCTGTTCAGTGGAAGCTTCGAAAGTGCCATCTATCTACTCGGGAGCATTTGTGGCGTCCCGTCAGACCTGGTGCGCGTAATCCCAGCAATCAACTCCAATTTCTCCCACCATATCTCTGCATCGCTTGCGGACGGAACTGTCATTGTCGGCCAGAACAGCATCTCGCACCCAAGCGAGGCAACAGCCCTTGAGCAAAACTCCCGCTCTAGAAGACCGAGTTTGTTGCTTGCCGATGGAGATGAGGTGGATTACACGGATTCTGAAATGTCAGACCCGACTACATACGAAGAAGATCATCTTCCCGGCTCTCTGGCAACTCTCCGCAACAAGAATATCAAGTTCAGTAAAACCGAGAACGAAGATTTGAGTTCCAGGATCACTCGCATCTGGTACATCAACCCCTACGGCCAGGAGATCCGACCGCCCGCCAATCCGCGAGTGCTGGAAGCAATAAACGACTCCCAGGCTATTATCTACAGTATTGGATCTCTCTACACATCAATCATCCCTGCTATAGTCCTACGAGGCGTAGGCAAAAGCATCGTCTCCAGTCCAGCCCGGCACAAAATTCTCATTTTGAACGGATCATTGGATCGGGAAACGGGACCTCCATCCGCACCCTTTGCCGCGTCTGATTTTGTGGAAGCGATCGTAAGCGCCGGAGAAGAAAGCCGTGGACGGGGCCCGATTGTTCATGCTCAACGTCAAAGTCAATCCCCTACGACGAGCTCAGTGCAAGAAAATGTTCGAACTCATAGAGCCCTTCCATATACCAAATATGTGACTCATGTCTTGCATCTGGATGGCCCCGGGACACCGCATGTGGACCGCGAGCGGCTCACGCATATGGGCATTGAAACGCTTCGTCTTTACGGACGAAAAATCTTTGTCAAGGACGGGGATAAGGAGACCGTTGTGGGGATGCAATATGATCCCACTGCCCTGGTGCAGGCCATTGAGGTAGTGCTTGGGAAGAAGGGCGATGCAATGATTCGAGGCGGGTTGGGAAATGCGCTGGGTCGACGGAATACACTCGATCCTGCAAGAAGGGACCGGTAGGATATGCAACCCATCCGTTTAGAAGCAAATGTTGTACAATAATAAATATCCAGATGCAACTACATCTACCCATCATGCAAGATAGTGGAAAATGAATCTCATTCGTTGATCCCAAATCGTTAACCACAAGCACAAGTCGCTCATGCAAAATTTCAACTAAATACCAACCTTTCCCAGACTCCGATTCGCAATGCCGCAATGATCAAGTGAACAACAAAAAAAAAGAATGGCCGAAAAAAAAACCCGATGTAGATGCTCTATGAGCCAGATACGGGAAGATCACCTCGCTTTTTCGTGAGAAACAACAGTGGAATGAGATTCTTAGGCCTCCCAGGCATCTCCTTCCGCAAAATCGGTGTACGGCATACCGGGCAGGTACCCTTATGGTGTTTCGAAGAGTCACCTCCGCGTGTATGTTCGCTCATCTTCAAGCAGTCGATGATGCACTTGTGACAGAAGAGATGTCCTAAACATGAGGAGTCAGCAGAAGCCCTGGCATAGAAAAAGCCTATGCGGTAGAAAATTAAGAACGTACCGCATGAGGTGCTCGTTGCGTCCACAGGCGTCTCCATGCAAATGGGACATTTGTAAGCGAGTAGAGCGGAGAGATTTGAGTCCCTCTCCGCTGATGCTTGCGCTTTGATGGCATCCTCCCTCTGTTTGGCCACTGTTCGGGCGAGTGCAGCCGCGCCTGAGTCGTCCGTCATATCAATCGTTTCGATGGGCTCGTTTTCGGAAAGAGTCGAAGAGGATGCGACGGCATCGCCACGCTCGTCGCTCCAGTTGCGACGACGTTTGACACCGCGAGCAGTAGCCAATTGTTCATGGCGGGAAGAGGATGCGTGGTTTGAGGCGTTTGGCGGGGAGGAGGATAAAGAGATAGGACTTTGCCGGGATGATCTGGTTGTCAGGTCAACAACTTCGGCTCTATTTCGGCTCATTGCAGCAGACTGGGAATGATATTCTCTCCAATATGATTGCGCCGGGGTTAAACGAGGTTAAACGAGGGGATTAGTCTGGTTTTGGAAAGGAAAGTCGTCTGCGGCTCTGTGTTGCAGTGTAGGGGAGGACGTCAGACGATCTAGAATTGGTGGCCGACGAGCAGCCTCAGGATATGAAGAATCTCGTTCAGACACAAGGTAGCTATTATTTGTTTGAGAAGAAGAATCGGTAGCAAAACTGGGGGCCTCTTCAGCAATCAAAGCAGGTGATGGCGACAATGCCGGACATGGACCTTTATCGGACATGGTCACGGGGCGATAAAGAGTCCGATAAGCTTTGTACGTCTATATTTGGAAGGCGGTCTTTGAGTTGGTGGAGGGGTGCTTATTGGAAGATTGCAATTCCACGTGATCGAGCCCCGCCCGGAACAACAGAATTCTCACCAATCTGCACATTGTCTGCAAGAAGAAGGCGGTCAGCAACATAGGGAAAATAATATTCCGACCTACATGACGCTCAGATCTGAGCGATCGCGATAGGCGATGGTTTGGAAATGCCCTACGTTCTCGAACACTTCTTTTCTGAAGATTTTCTTCGGGCTACTAGTGCAGCCTCACGGCTGTGGCCATACTTCTAACATGACCTAACATTGCCTAACTCTTATCTTCACAATGTTATCTTGGAAGCCCTGTTGCAGAGGTGCCTTGAGGTCTTTCTTGCGACCGAATTCGCCGCTTTTGGTTAAGCTGCAATCACGGTGCCAATTACACAGAAGCCATACCAGACTTTCCTCTACTTTCGCCGACCATGTTACCGTAACACGATCTCTTTCTGGTGGGTGCCTTGTCTTTTGCGCTTTTTTGATAAGAAAACAACCAAGTCGCAATTACTGATCCCGCGCAGTCCCTTCCTCGCCTAGATTCAATGAGATCGGAGTCCAACAGCTCAGCGATCATGTTCATGCTCAGGTCTTCCCAAATAAAGGCCGCATCCCGGACCCAGAATTAGTCGCACTTTCAAAGGATCATTTGGCTAGACATGAGCTCCTGGGCAAATCTCAAAATGGCGCCGCTCCTGTCGCATTCGATCTTCCTACTCTCAAGGGGCAAACATTGGATGAGCATTTCTACAAACTCGGAATGGATTCTTCCGAGCCCTACCTGTCATGGGCTAAATCATATGCGGCCCTCAACTGTCCGGCCAAACCACGGAAATGGGTCAATCGCAGTGGATGGACGAAATATCATACAGATGGTACTTCCGAGCCTGTCGATGCCCCCAATGAATCAATGTTAACGTTCGACACCGAGGTCATGTACAAAAATAATTCGTTTGCCGTCATGGCTTGCGCGGTAAGCCCGACAGCATGGTATGCATGGATATCACCGTGGCTGCTCGGCGAGACAAAGAATGAGGTACAGCTGGTACCCTTGGGAGACCCCACTCAACCGCGCATTGTAGTTGGCCACAATATTGGTTACGATCGAGCCCGAGTCCTCGAGGAATACGACATGCAGCAGTCTCAGAACTTCTTTCTTGACACCATGTCTCTTCACGTGGCAGTCAACGGCATGTGTTCACAGCAGAGACCAACTTGGATGCGCCACAAAAAGAATCAGGACATGAGAGATAAAATCGCGAATGAACACGATTCCGTGGAGCTTGCCGCACTTCTCGAAAACAATATGTTGAGGGAAGAAGAAGAAGAGCTTTGGGTTGGGCGAAGCTCGGTGAACTCCCTGCGGGATGTGGCGAAATTCCATTGTGATGTAACCATCGATAAGGCGCAGAGAGACTTCTTCGGTGAACTTGATCGTGACTCTATCCTGGGAAGACTAGAGGAACTTCTCGACTATTGTGCCGCTGATGTTGCCATCACGCACCGTGTCTACCGAAAAGTTTTCCCCAACTTTCTTGAGACTTGCCCGCATCCTGTCAGTTTCAGCGCTCTTCGACACTTGTCCTCTGTCATTTTGCCAGTCAACCAGTCCTGGGAGGAGTATCTTGCAAGAGCAGAGGAAACATATCATAAGCGACTTGATGATGTCCAAAGTAAATTGCTAGCACTATGCGACGAGGCATTGAAGTATAAAGACCAACCAGAAATTTACACGAATGATCCTTGGCTACAACAGCTGGACTGGTCCGGCCAAGAGATCAAAATGGCGAAAGGAAAGAAGAAGGGCGATCCTCCTCGGCCGGCAGCCAGGCAAAAGAAACCAGGAATGCCCAAGTGGTACAAAGATCTTTTTGCCTCGAACGCTGCAGAGATTAATTTAACGGTCCGAACTCGCATTGCACCGATTCTGCTAAAACTGTCATGGGACGGCTTCCCTCTTGTTTGGTCGGACCTGCACGGATGGACTTTCCGCGTTCCCCGCGATCAAGTCAAACAGTATGAGAACCAGCCAGTCGTCATGTGCGACATGGCCGAGGAAAAGAACGCCAAGTTGCGAGATGATAGAAAAGCCGTATACTACAAAATCCCCCACAAAGATGGTCCACAGGCCAGGTGTACCAATCCGCTTGGCAAAGGGTACATGCAGTATTTCGAGCGTGGAATCCTGTCTTCTCAGTATGAACTTGCCAAACAAGCGCTGGACATGAATGCGTCATGCTCCTACTGGATTAGCGCCCGAGATCGAATCATGGGTCAAATCGTGGTCTATGAGGATCAAGTGCAAAGAGGCGGAGACAAAAGCGAAGCAAGCGAAAATCGTCTGGGATTCATTCTGCCTCAAGTTATTCCCATGGGAACCATCACTCGACGTGCCGTGGAAAACACTTGGCTGACTGCAAGTAACGCGAAGGCCAACCGTGTCGGGTCAGAGCTAAAGGCTATGATAAAAGCACCGCCAGGCTACTCATTTGTTGGAGCCGATGTTGACTCCCAGGAACTATGGATTGCGAGCCTTGTCGGGGATGCCCCATTCCAGATCCATGGAGGAAACGCAATCGGTTTCATGTGTTTAGAAGGGTCCAAAGCCGAGGGGACGGATCTTCACTCACGAAGTGCATCAATTCTGGGAATCTCGCGTAATGATGCCAAGGTCTTCAACTACGGCCGAATTTACGGGGCAGGCGTCAAATTCGCCGCTACTTTACTCCGCCAGTTCAACCCGTCTCTGACTGAAAAGCAGACTCAGGATACCGCCAAGAATCTATACAAAGAGACCAAGGGAACGCGCACTTCTCGTCGCCTCTTGAGTGAGACGCCGTTCTGGCGAGGTGGTACTGAATCGTTTGTGTTCAATAAACTTGAGGAGTTCGCGGATCAGGAACGACCTAGAACCCCTGCTTTGGGTGCTGGGATTACTGAAGCTCTCATGCGACGTTTTATCAACAAAGGCAGCTTCATGACATCCCGAATCAATTGGGCCATTCAGTCGTCGGGCGTAGATTATCTTCACCTCTTGATCGTTGGCATGGACTATCTCATCCGACAATTTAACATCCAAGCTCGCTTGGCCATCACTGTTCACGATGAAATTCGCTACCTTGTGAAAGACGAGGATAGGTACCGCGCTGCAATGGCTTTGCAGGTTGCCAACGTTTGGACTCGTGCCTTGTTTTCGCAGCAAGTGGGGATTGATGACCTTCCCCAATCCTGTGCCTACTTTTCAGCCGTCGACATTGACCATGTGCTTCGCAAAGAAGTCGACATGGACTGTGTGACTCCTTCGCATCCCCACAAAATTCCGCATGGTGAAACGCTGGATATCACTCAGCTCTTAGAAAAAAACCAGGAAGCTTTTTTGGACCCTTCCGTCACACCGCAGTCGCCTCCATCCCCCGAAAAATACCCATACACCCCACGGGAGTCGGTCATGTCTGCCTTCGAAGCTTCCAACGACATTGATTTCATCAAAGCCCAGATCACCAAGGATGACAAAGAGCTCCGCGATATCATCAAGGAGAAGACGCGGGCAGCTGCCAGCGCCAGCGTTCCCAGCTCCCGCGCCCCTTCGACCAAACCGAAAGGCAAATCCACCACTTGGACCTCAGCAAAGCCCCAGCGGGCGGTTCTGATGGACATGGAGTCCGGCCTCTACCCCGATTTTCACAGCTCCCCTAGGCCTAGTTCTCATGGGAACAAGCAGCCTCAAATGGGATTCCACCGCCCTTCCTGGAAACCACGGGCAACAGCCCGAGCATAATGCTGTTCTCCCCCCACTTCTATCACCCCCATTCTCTCTGTATTCTCTTTGTTAGCCTTTTTGCTGTAATCATTGCGCTACTTTCCCGTCTTTTTGAACTATTGTGGATCTTGTTACATCTGGAGTGATTGGAGGCCAGCATTGGGACGGCGTTACTGTACAATGCATAGTGATGTGATGGAGTGGAAACCGTGTATCTATATGTATTTGTACGAATCAATTCTAATGATTTCAGGAGTCCTAAATATGGTGCTTCGTAGCCTGTTTAATATAAAGTAGAGTACGTACTTCGCCGGGGCTGTACCCGTCTCCCTTTATTGAGAGGTGTCGTTGTACAGCAAACTCCGTTGGCACTCTCCCCACTTGAACCCCTTGTGCAGCGAAAGCCCCTGTGCCTCCTCGTTATTCCCCCTGATTTTTCCTACCTGTTAATTATTCCTGGCTTTCAGTTCTTGATTTCCATGTTCAGCCCTCGGATAAAGCCTTTCCCTTTGAGAAGGGGTTCGTCTTGATTTTCTCTGCAAGCGCGAGAAAAAACGCCCCTTCGACGTCAATAACCCCCCGCGAACGCTAGACATGTTCTCCCCTGAGGCTATGGTGTCCCAATGAGAGGTGCATCGATTATTCTAATATACTGGGTATATTTTGGCTAGGCATTGACTAAAATATCCCCTAGCTCGGGATTTATATCGTTGAGTTGCAACGCATTGAATTTCGGAGCCGATGAAAGCCCGTCGTCCCACCGAAGCGATTGGATGTGCGCGTCTAAATGAGCCGTGAAAATGAGCGTGCACTCGCTTGATTATGCACAGCAGGGTACCCCACGACTTGATCTCGATATCGAGGCCGCTCGCCTGTCGGTCAGCTCCCAAGTCTCTCCGACAGGAAGGGAGAGAGAGGAAACTTCGTCTCCCGCATTCACCACAGCAGCACGAGTGAACTCCACCGAGACGACAAAACGCCGAGCTAGACGCAATACTGCCCGCTCATACCACCCCGAAGGATTTGCACAAGATCCCAACTGGCAGCCAGGAACCGAGCCTGGCATTGACCCAACGAAGCCGCTACCGCCCTTCACGTCGGAATGGGCGTCCAACATACCCGCAGACCTACACCGACGCTGCCAGATTACAGTGGTGGATTTCTCACAACATGAAATGCGGCAGTATGAGCTGGACAATGACACACTGGAGCAATTTCTGGAGCGGGAGAGAGAGCCCTGGGTGCAATGCCGGTGGATTAATGTCAATGGGTTGAGCTGGGATGTGATCAAGATTCTTGGAAATCATAAGAGATTGCATCGGCTTGCAATTGAGGATGTTGTCCATACTACCAATCGCACGAAAGCGGATTGGTACTCAGACCATGCCTTCGTCGTACTGACATTGCAAAAATTGGTGAAGATACAAGAAGAGGACTCCTCTGATTCGGAAGATGAGGAGGAAACTCCCGTCAGTCGATGGAAATCAAGGGACCGGAAAAGCTCCGTGATTAGTGAAAAGAGCTCGATTTCGTTGAAGCGACCCACGAAGTGGAATGTAATCATTGCGGCATTGAAGGACATTTTCCGCTTCAAACCCTCCGGAAGACAGGAGTGCAAGGAGAAGGCGACGTACGGATCGAGTGTTCGTCCTGGCCTTGGAGAAGTTCCAAAACAGAATTCCCACTTTGGAAATGTTGGGACCGCCACAGAAACGGCTGCCAGGACTCTTCAGCGATACCGCGGTGGTCCCAACGAGGATCGAATTGAGTTCATGGAACGCCATGCTGCACTTGCTGCCAAAGGACTATGTGTCACCTTGGAACAAGTTTCGATCTTCCTACATGCCGACAATACGGTGACGTCCTTTTTCGAAACGAGCGCCGATGACATCGAAGCGCCGATTGTCAGGCGTCTCACTTCGCCAGAGACTATTCTTCGACAGTCATGCGATGCCAGTATGCTTTTGCAGGCTATTCTCGACGCCGTGATTGACCTTGCGATTCCGGTCACGATGGCCTATCAAGATGCCATCGGAGACCTCGAGCTAGAAGTCCTGACTGATCCTGACATCGAACAGTCAAAATCTTTGTATATTTTGACATCTGAGATTGCTGTTCTGCGAAACTCCATGCAGCCTATGGTGGCTGTGATCAATGCTCTCCGCGATCACCGGTCGGAGCCTGTCGGCACACCAGGCTTTGGTGTGCTGCGGAATCCCCTTAGCCCAGGCGCTGCAGACCCCGTTGAACCCCACCCGAATGGCGGAATTGTAACGCCAAATCTGAAGAGTGTTGGAGGCACAAGTGTTACGATCAGCTCCATGTGCCATACATACTTAGGCGATGCCCTAGACCATTGCATTACTATTGTTGAAGGGTACGATCAGATGCGGCGTAACGCTGATAACATGATTGACCTCATCTTTAACACCATTGGTACGTTACGTTTGTTTGCGACTCATGAAAAAATCAAACTAATATGCTGTGCAGGTGCCTATCAGAATGAAAGTATGAAGCAGCTTACTCTCGTGACCTGTCTTTATCTTCCTATGACGTTTTTGACGGTATGTTTGGCTTGAATCTACTGAGAAGGTATCTAATAGTTGTAGGGTTATTTCGGAATGAACTTCACGCATTTCGGGGGAATCGATAACAACGAAGGGTAAGCCTTTCAATGCTTTTCATTTTGGACGTATTGCTGACTTGGGTAGATATTTCTGGAAGATAGCAATACCGTTCGTCTTTGCTACGATATTCTTCCTGATGTGAGTTCTGATCTATCCATCCAAAAAAGCCGACACTAACCTGCATCTTTAGGCGCGACAAAATCCAGCGCTACGCTGTCATGCTAGCTCAGCGACGTCTGATTGTTAGCTCGCGGAAGCAGAGACGAGAAAGGAAGAAGAAGTAGATCATGAACGTCGTGCAGTTTACTGTTTCTAATGTTGCACAAAGACTTTGCCGCGTACAAGTGCTTTGGCTTGGGCTTTCTCACAATTTACATACATACATAATCACTCGCAGACCTAGTCAGGCCTTGTATCAAAAGATTCCTCCATATGAACACTATTTCTAAATCCTGTGTTGACAATACAATTCCTGGGATCAGTGTAGGCATCATTTACCGTTCATTTTTGGATGGTGACGACTGTTTTTCTTATCTAGTGTACAAAGAAGCCACGAACGGTCCTGGTCCGAAGTGTGTAGGACAAACATTATACACGACCTACATGCCATCACTCTAAAGACTTCCGCCGATAGGCCGAGTAAGCCTTCCACGGAAGTCTCCAGTCTGATCGAAGCAACTCCGGACTGAAAACATCGAAGTCGTGCTTCTCAAGGCGATCCAACCACAGGCGTGTGCCAACTGCCGGCAGGAAAACGCCAAATGCCCTGTTGACCTCATCGAGCGGCGACTCGCCACTCCGAACACCAGGGGAAATGTCATATTCATGGCCCTCTTCCCCTTCATGCTCAAAGTCATGACCGACATCCTCACCGGCCCGAAGGTTGCTCAACATCTGCTGCACAGTAATCAAGTGATCACTCGCCCGGGTCGCAACAGTGAAGACTGCATCCCGGAGACCCTCAGCTTGGGCTCCATACCGGAGGACATCCTCTTCCCGAACACCAGCCTGTGCCATAACATCTAGAGGCAACATCACAGCTCCCTGCTTCGCACCCCCTCCTATCGCAGAACCCGCAGCCCCGCCAGGAGGTGCTTGGGCAGACGGCGCAGGAAACGCAACAAGCGGCAGTCCACGCAACACGGCCGCAATCCCCACTGCCTTTCCGATATGTGACGCAACGTGGTCTGCAGTGACCGAAGCCATGGGCAATGCCGAGAGAGTGAGGTACATGAGCGTTGAGTACGTATTCTCAGCGTAGGACTCGAGCGCCGCGATATTTGGGTATGGGTCGTTTGTAAGGGTTTGCTCCCGCGAGTTAATAAGACGTGTTAGCCAATTTTTGCTTATCCGCGCGCGGCCCTGCGTGCGCTCGTGGAGCTCGGAGATGGCAGATGCGAGCAAGATAGCAATGGGTTCTTTTGGTGGCGTGCCGGCAAGGATCTTTGTAACCGAGTCGCGCCAGAATTGGAGTCGCATCAGTCCTATTGTAGGAGAAGAGGTGGTTTCGGGGATCATGGAGAGAGAGACGTTTAATGCGCGCAGCGCAATGTAGAAAGATTGCGCATGTCGTGGGATGAAGGTGCTCATTGTGTAGGAAGGGCGGTCGTATTTTCTTTGGGAAGAGCGATATGTTAGCGTTCGGACTTGTTTCCATTGCCGGAGCTTCAATAGGGTTGAAGGGCCACAGGGACGGTGATTCATACGAGAGAAGAGCAACGCAGTATTTGTGAGCGCCTTGTACTTCTTCTGCGGTAATGGGTGCGGCAAGGGATTGTGTGCAGCTGAGGTGTCGCTTTTGTGATTGAAAGCTTCTTAGGTACAGCCTATAGGCCCTTCTTGCCTGGCATGGCCGAGCTATCTCGAGCAAAGACATCTTTTTTTGTGAAGTCGACAAGCTCTGAAGAAAAGATTGGATGTGATTGGGGCATAGGCATCGGCCGGCCAATCTTTGTCAGCGATGCCCCAGGCACCTGCAGGGTAGACTTGTTCGAATTTAGAAGAACGTTCTTCTTGTATTTGTTAGAAATTAAATTGAAAAGGTTTAAAGTGAAGGAATCTAAAGAATGACGATTTTTTTGTCTTCAAAAGTGCAGATATCAACCCCAATTTCCAACTTCCCTCTTATTACTGACGTCGATCCACCTGACTTCGCGTTTCTCGGCGCGTCTCCCAGAACCTAACTCTTTTTTCATCTCCACGAAGCTTGATGGTACAGCCAATATGAGCGAGGATGTAGAGCAACGCCCAGCAAAGAGGCAGCGTTTCTTCACTGATACTCCATCGTCACCTTTACCCACCGAACCCCGAGATGCAGACGCGTCCGTGCCTTATTGCCCGGAATACGAAGAGAATCGGACAGACCGTGGCACCGCACTCGAGATTCCGCCACCTGAACGCACCCTAAAAAGCTCAACTGACTTGAAAAATGAAAGGGATCCGCCGCATAGACGAATTCGAACGACAGAAAGCCTAGGGTTGCCCATTGCAGACGCTACCCATGCTTCCTCTTTGCACCAGAATGGAGACCTACAAATCGACGAGGAAGGGACTAATGATGCCACAATAAGCGCACTTGCAAATGGCTTCGATGTCGACCTTTTCACCAGTATCGTGGGAGAGCAACTACCTGCCGATGCAATCAAAACCATTCAATCAGCTGCTTCCAATAATCTTGAGCGAGCTGTTAACATATACTTTGATGGATCATGGAAGAAGCCGGTCCGGATAAATGGCAGCGCTCCGGCCAGAAGCCGGAAACTCGCTCTTCGAGAACAACCTAGCCCTGAAACGACAGTTGAAAACGAATCGGTGTTGCGGAATCAGCCACCAGCAAGATATGTTGGCGCATTTGGTGTGGGAGGATGGGCAACGAGAAGTGGCTTGGGATTTCTCAAGCATGGAGACCCCGTCAACATCGAGCGTGAACGATCACAGCCAACCATGAAACGTGGCCGAGGAGGCAAAGCATTTGCCAACAACAAAAGTGATGTCTTGACTAGGTTCACGAATACCTCGGGGCAAGAAATCGGAAGGCTGCCACATGAGACCGCTGAATGGGTATCTACGCTGATTGATCAGAAGATCTGTCGGTTTGAAGGAGTCTGTGTATTTGTACCTGACAGGGTGCGAGTTAACGATACCATATACTTACAACTCCGAGTTTACTTGCGAAAGGAAGCCTTCCAAAGCGGTGCACTCGCTGCTCTGAACAAAAATGATAACAGGTCCACTGGACTGTTTGAAGAGAAGGAGAGCACCGAAGAGAAGAATCTGCGACTACGCCAAGTCGGTCTAGTGAAACTGTTTCACGAAATCAGTCTTCATCCTACCTCGACTAACCCAACTACTGAAAAGCACAAAAGAGATGGCATTCTTCGTGCCGCTGAAATCGCAGAGCAATATGACAGCACGAAGAAGGAAAATAGACCCAAGTCAAACAAGGACTCCAACGATTCCTCAGGCGAAGATGATGGCGAAGAACTAGAAGAAGATCAACTCGACACGCTGTATCAAAAAGCCCAATCATTTGATTTCAATATGCCAGCGGCAGATCCAGCACCTAGCTTCATCCTTGATCTGCGCAAGTACCAACAACAAGCCCTTCATTGGATGCTGTCAAAAGAGAAAGACTCGAAGCAAACTCGAGAAAAGTCAATGCATCCACTGTGGGAGGAATATACTTGGCCTATAAAGGACGTTGACGACAAAGATTTGCCAAAAGTCAAAAACATTGACCGTTTTTATGTCAACCCGTATTCAGGGGACCTCAGTGTGGACTTCCCTGCTCAAGAGCAACACTGCCGGGGCGGAATCCTTGCCGATGAAATGGGCCTGGGGAAAACCATTGAGATGCTCAGTCTGGTTCATTCGCACAGATTTGAGCCTGATCCACGGGTTTCGAATGGTCTCAACTCGGTGAATGACCTCGCTAGAATGCCGAACTCTTCTGGGGTGGTGCCTGCGCCGTATACCACTCTGGTTGTTGCACCGACATCTTTAATCTCTCAATGGGAAAGTGAGGCACTCAAAGCTGGGACGTTGAGAGTTCTTGTTTATTACGGGTCGGACAAGGCTGTCAACTTGAGAGAATTATGCTGCGAATCCAAGTATGCGACAGCTCCACAGGTAATTGTGACCAGTTATGGCGTGGTATTGTCGGAATTCCGTCAGCTCGCTCTCCAGTCTGCACTAGGACCCAGTACCAATGATGGTCTATTCTCTGTGGAATTCTTCCGAATAATTCTTGATGAAGCCCATGTGATCAAAAACCGCCGTTCTAAGTCTGCTAGATCATGCTATGAGCTGAAGGCAGCCCATCGGTGGGCACTGACTGGCACGCCCATTGTCAATCGCCTTGAGGACCTCTTCAGTCTGGTGCGTTTCCTAAAAGTCGAGCCATGGAGCAATTTCTCCTTCTGGAAGACGTTCATCACTGTGCCCTTTGAATCCAAAGAATACGTCCGCGCCCTGAACGTCGTGCAAAGTGTACTTGAACCACTTGTTCTTCGACGGACCAAATCGATGAAAACCCCGGAGGGCGAGCCATTGGTCCCCTTGCCCAAAAAGACAGTCACTATTGAGGAAGTGGAGTTACCAAAGCAAGAACGAGAAATTTACGACTACATCTTTACCCGAGCGAAACGAACTTACAACGACAATGTCGTGGCCGGCACACTGTTGCAGTCTTACAGCACCATCTTTGCTCAAATCCTCCGTCTTCGTCAGACCTGCTGTCACCCTATAATGACACGCAACAAAGCAATCGTTGCGGAAGAAGAGAGTGCAGCGGTAGCGGCTGATGCAGCCAATGAGTTCAAAGACGATATGGATCTTCAAGAATTGATCAACCAATTCACGGCAGAAAACGCCAACGCCAACGCCAACTCTCAAGATACGTCCGGGACAATGATTAAGTTCACCACCCATGCTCTTCGGCAGATCCAAACCGAGTCCAGCGGCGAGTGTCCTATCTGTTGTGAAGAGCCCATGATCGATCCTGCAGTAACAGCTTGCTGGCATAGTGCATGTAAGAAATGCCTAGAAGACTTCCTGCAACACCAAATGAACAAAGGCGTCGAGGCACGATGCTTCAACTGTCGTGCTCCAGTGGATGCAAAGAATACCTTTGAAGTAGTACGACATCCGTCCGCAACTTCAATTTCCTTTGCAGACGACACGATGAGCGGCCCACCACCAACCAGCTCCCAACCTGCCCCACGTATCTCCCTCCGTCGCATATACCCCCTCTCTCCTTCCGCCCACACTTCAGCCAAGATTCACGCCCTTATCAATCACCTCGGACGCATCCCTCCAAATACAAAATCCGTTGTCTTCTCGCAATTTACCTCCTTCCTGGACTTGATTGGCCCACAACTTTCCCGAGTTGGAATCTCGCATCTCCGCCTGGATGGCTCAATGCCCCAGAAGGCCCGTGCCGCTGTTTTAGCCGAATTCACAAAAGCAGACAGCTTTACCGACGATGAAATTGTCGACCTGAAAGATGATACCCCAGGGACCAGTGGTCCAGCGAAGACTACCGCTCCCTCGCCCTCGAAATCAGCCCCTACAGTCTTACTCATCTCCCTACGTGCCGGTGGCGTAGGTCTCAATCTCACAACCGCCAGCAATGTCTTCTTGATGGATCCATGGTGGAGTTTCGCAATTGAAGCACAAGCCATCGACCGCGTTCATCGAATGGGCCAGATACGCGATGTCCATGTGACGCGATTTGTGGTCAAGGATTCCATCGAAGGCCGCATGCTACGCGTGCAAGAGCGTAAAATGAATATTGCTGGTTCACTTGGTTTGAAGATTGGCGGCGATGATGGTGAAGCTGACAAGGGGAAGAACAGGCTTGAAGAGTTGAAAATGTTGTTCGAGTAATTTGTGAGATGGCTTAATGATTGCTTGCTTCTGTTTACACTTGGGATACCCTACTCCGGCGCGTGGATGTGAGATTGAGATTGAGTCGGTCAAATGCATGTGTTTCCAAATTATAGTCTTGGAAAACTTGTTTAGATAGTTGGACTTTTCCACCAACAAGTTAGAAAGAAAAAAAAGGGTTGGATACTTCCAGCACAATTGGATCATGATACACTTGAAATCAAAAATGAGGTGTGTTAAATCACCAATCCCGTATGATACATCAAAGCTTCAAACAAAAGCCAAACCCCATGCCTAGACATCAGAGGCTTCGTCGCAAGCACACCCGCTCTTAGATCCGATCTAGACAAAGACACGACTTATTTGCTCGAATGATGAAGACGCTTCTTGACACTCTCCTTCACCTTCGACACAGTACCGTGCCTTCCACTGCCGTGAGAAGAAGACTCAGACATGTTGCTCAAAGGCGAGTCGTTGCTCTTCTCGCTAGATTCACTAGGAGAACCTATGAGAAAAGGTCAGCATCAATCAGTAGTAATATCGCCAGATGGATATAAGTACAGGAAAATGGAAACATACTCTGCTCAATATCATCGTCTTTACCTGCAGACTTCTTGCCTCTATACTCCTTCTCAAAGTCCTCGGCAGGTCTTGGCGCAGGACCCTGCGGGCCCTGCAGCGCCTCTTTGCTCACATCCTGAGGACGGGATGGGTGGGGAGATTCACTGCTCGCGCCACCTTCGACCTGCGAGATGCTGCGCTGTTCTCGATTGGAGCTGGAGCTATTGTCGTCTTTGCTTCTGCTGGCTTCAGTAGAGCCACTGGAGATAGGTAAAGCGGGGGTAACGCTGGTGCAGGCACTGATGGAGGTGGGGGCGTGTGGAGTTGTGATGCTAGTAATTTCTTTTCCTTGGGACTTTGATCGTTTGTTGTAAAAGATGGGATACTGGGGTGCGGTGTTGACGTCTGATTGGATTGCGCCGGGTTGTTCTGCGGGGCGAGGTTAGATAGTTTGAACATTTTTGTGTTTTGGGATTCTTTGATAGCGTTGTGGCAATCGAGTAACTGGGGCTTGCGTAAATCTTTGCTATTATTGTACTTACCATCGCGGTTGCCGCCATCATAGGGGTCTGTGACACATCCTTTGCCTTGGACACCGGAGATGGGCTCTTCGCCGTGCTGTTGGGTCTGGGGAGAGCCGTTCTCGCCCCAAATGACGGTTGAAGCAGAGTTGACGTATTTGTTGACTGTCTCCATGGTTGTTTTGCTGTAGTATAGTTCAAATAAATATAGAAGGTAGGAGTCTGATAATAGAGGAAAATACGACGGCAGATGGGGTATAATGGGTGAAGGAAGAGAATGATAGTAATGCTAGATACACTCGAAATGTAAGTGGCAAGTGGATTGGATCCTTGGGAGTTCCGGGCAGGTCAAGCTTTAAGAACCCACAGACTGATGCCCTATTCAATACGTCAGTGGTTTTGGGCCATGGTGGACTGCAGATGGATCGTGGATCATCCCCGGTCTTTCGTAAGACCGAGTTTGATTCCACCAATTGCTCAATGGCTTGCGAATGAGAATCCAGTGATATAAATTGGATCGACAGAGCGGCGATCGTCTGGGCCTGTGTCATTGAGTGACGTCATGTTATGTCCATCATGTGACCTCATCCCACAGCAAAATGTAGCAACGAAGATGCAAAAAAATGATAGAACTCATATAATCAGCTTGTAGTCAATTGGAATTTATGAACAGGGAAACAAAAGCACCAAAATAACAAAACTGACTTCCAAGGTTGATGTCTAGTGCTTCGCAGGCGAAAACAAAATCAAGCTTGAAGGAATTAAAAAAAAAGAACAAAGCAACTCCCTAGAACGTAAGAAAAACAGTTAATCATGAGGTATCGTGGGCGTAGGAGTAGAGGCTCCATCATTTGTGTTTGGGTTCAAAGGCTGCGTTGGGTCATAACCGATGCTCTTAACAATACCCAGTCCTTTTGTCTTGCCCTCACGGAAGAGGACACGGTCCCCAGGAACTAAGAATTCAGGACGCTGTACGAACCTGAACGCGACTAGCGCTCGATCTCCAGTACGAATGAAAGGGCGATCAATATCGATGACCGAGCATGTCTGACTGACTGCCCCGACATGAAGCATGGCCTGGTATTTAGGCTTGATGGTAGTTGCATGAGAAAGAATTAGAACTATTTCTGTTAGCAGGTGGTCAATAAAGCCCAAATAAGCGACTTACCCTCCGCAACGAATTCTCGATACACCTTTGGAGGCTCCTCCATCTTTTTCAACACTACCATGCCTTTGCGCACTTCCTTCCGGCGGACGCGCTTCAGGGCAAAAGATCCAGATTGGCCGGCAAAGCAAGCATTCACCTGGATACGCTTGCGCTCAATGGACTTGATGACGGTGGTGGTGAACTGGCCGAGCGAGTCTGGTCCCACCATGACCGTGTCTCCGGCATGGATGACACCAGACTTGACCACACCTGCGACGACTGTACCAACATGAGGAACAGAGAAGGTGTCGTTGATCAAAAATTCGAAGGCTCCTGCGACGTCGTACTGCCCGCGGTGGGGCAGAATGTTTAGGAAGGTCCGTACTAGATCGAGGTTCTCTCCTGTGACATTGGACACTTGAAAGATAGGACATATCCGCTGGCTGACGAATTGAGTGGCCGTGTTAATTGTCTCTTCCATATCCTTGACGAAGATTGGAATCTTGCGTGCGCCAGGCGATTTGAGAATCTTGGTCAGCTGCGACAAGGTCTCCTGCAGAATATGAGACGGGCATATGTCAATTTTGGTGACAATGACCATGACAGGCACATTGAGGGCCAAAGCAATGCCCAAATGCTCTTTGCTCATTCCAATAAGACCATTGTTGGCAGCGACCATCAGCAAACAGTAGTTGGGGCTGCTGCTCAGCATACCGAACACTGTGGTGCGTAGATACCGCTCGTGGCCTGCTAGATCGGAGAAGGCGATGACCTTAGCAGAGCGCTTGCCAATATCCTCCCAGGAAAGTTTCCGGCCCTGCGAATTGCTAACTATTTCGCCTCGGCTATCGAAGCCCATGATCTCCAACCCGACGGAGCTAGTACGCCCGCTCTCGATCTCGTGCTTGTGGCGGAAGAGATTTACTCGCGCACGACCACGTCCATCGTCTAGACCACCTTTCACCAACACTCCCAGCATAGTGCTCTTTCCAGCATCGACATTCCCCACTACAGCAATCCGGAGCTCCGCCATCTCCTCGATATTGTCAGCGTGGTGGCGCACGAGGACCTTGCCCCAGGCGCCCTGGACCCGGTCATTTGTGACATGCGATTCTTCCGAGCCTCCGACGTTGTAGGCCAGTAACACTCGGCAGTAGGCGGGAATGGTCTCGGCCGCCTCGCGCAGGCGCTGCAGCGCCGTCTTCCATTGATCGACATCGAAGCCCATGGATTCGCCGCCATCCTCCAACCCGAGATCGAAGATAGTTTCGCCGTGGCCTTCATCTATGCGTGTTTGTAATTTTCCCGCTAGCACTTGCAGGTTGTCCTCGATGGCATCGCCTGTACCGAGAAGAAGCTCCTTAAGCTTGGCTGTTTGAGGGGCGTCGGATAGCCCTAGCTGATCAAGAATGTCGAGCTCTGCATGGTCCTCAAGATCGCATGATACGCTGGCGGTGGAATATCCGCTGTCGCTGGGTGCGACTTGGCCGGAGCGGTGGGCTTGCTGTTTCTCGGCATACTCGGCAAATTCACCGAGAGCCTAAGTTGAAGACCATGTGAGATGAGAGACTTGTCACTTGTTCCCTGGAGACACATACAACTTCACCTCGTTTTCGCTCCGCATGGCTTAGTTTCCCGGTGGCAGGCATGATGTGGAGTTGGTGAGTTCAGCCTTGTCAACTCCTCGCTGTGCCGCCGTTTTAGGGTAGTGACGTTATTGGTCGGTGGATCGGATCGCCGTTACTGTTGGCGAATGTGGAGATGTATTCGAGTGATCATAGTTTTTCTTTTGCTCAATGAACAAAAGATAAGAAGAATGTTTAGGCGAATGTTTGAAGGAGTGTTCCGGTCGAGAGTACATGATAGGGGACATGGGTAGCTTTATCGATAAGTAGTCACGATGTAGTTGAGTCATCGACCATATGTCATGGATCAGGCCAGGTGGATAGCGGAGGGCTGCCCCAGCCACATTTCATCAGCGACTCAATATAAACATACTGGGAAGAATGTCGAATCATAAGGAATACCGTGACAAACAATTGCACAGCCTGCTCAGGCTCACAAGGCGATGTATGTCCAACTATATCCAAGGGACTAATACGGATGATCATAAAACCAATTACCATGGTATCGTTATCTATCTATGTTGACTGCATTTTGTGGTATCTTGTGTCCTTCCTAGTGTTGTTCCCGTCGCCGGACGCCTTCTCTTTATCAAGGGCACATTCCGCCCATCATGCCTGCGGGGAGATCAAGACGACGGAGTCTCCTGGACAGATATTAGCAACGCCCTCAAGACATTCCATAATTACTTGAACTCACCTCGCACAAAAAGCATCTCTTCTTGTTTCTTGATTGTCTGTATCCGAGAGCCCATATTAGCCCGCGCTCATGTAAATTTCCCAGATTCATCTGATCCCATACCCGCAAAGTCTCCTCTTCGTTCTCATCCTCTTCCACCACGTAGATTGTCTCCTCCACATCGCCGAGGACTAGATTACAGTGACTGTCATAGGCCTATGGACACATATCATAGTCAGTGGATGTTCTGAAGATTGCCAGATGGGTAGCTCACATGAAGACGGCCCTTGAGCTCACGGTCGCCGCGCAGCTTCACGAAGACGGTCTCATCGAGGGAGAGGCGAACGAGATCCAGGGGCTCCGAGACGGATGGACCGCCAGTATCCTCAGAGTCAGCCATGATAGAAGGGTGTTCGGATTGGGTTAAATGCAGGTCCACACACACGCAGAATCAACGAGCTTTGGCAGATACCTAATGTGGGTTAGCGTTGATCTTGGCAAGAAGTGAGATGAGTCAGCAATTTACCCCAGGTTCTCTAATTAAGTCTCCACATGGAAATCTTGACAGGTAGATGGTGGAGCAATAGACAGAACAAATTGGATATCTGCCTAGGTATACATGTGTAGGATAAGCTGTCAATCACATAGCATAACCATAAAATGAAGGATTCCTAAACCGTCTCGCCTATTTCTTTGTGCAGGAGTCGTGTGCTTAATTGGTTTGAAGTACAACCACAACCTGCATGAGAGTACCTTGTCAAATGATCCGGGGTCGAAACGCACTTCCCCTCATGCAGGCCCCTGATAGCTTAGTGCTGTTTTTGTTTTGATTCTTTGACGCTGATTCTTTGCTACAGTTTCCTCATGCGAAGGTTCTCACTTACCGAGAAGTTCGCTTCTCGCTGGGGTGCCTCGTCTCGTCATGGAGACAACATCAGCAAACGCAGACAATTTCCTCCCCACTGTAATCTCAGTCACGCGAGGCAAGTACTTTGCGTCGCAGCCTCTTCAAATACAACAGCATGCGATGTGGCTTCGCAAAGAACGCATCAAACTTGCTGTCGCAATTCCATACGGCAGTTGACGACAACAAGTCAACGATGGAACAACGAACTCGCTGTTCCACGTCCTATGACTTTTGAAAACGAAGTCCAAGTGCCTCTACCAGAATGGAGCTCACCCGCAGAGGAGGCACGATATAGGACGTACTTCTTTCGAGTCCTTGAAAATGGACAACCGAACCAAGTGAAGGAAGCCATGGTCGATCCTCGGTCGGTCGAGCTAGTTGGATTGCTACCGCCAGCCGTGTTTATCAAAGCTTTGCACCTCCTCTCTCCGGCTCATTTCGTGATCCCCTACCGAGATCTCCACCATACGCTGCACGGGTGGGGCGTATTGATGCTAGGGCTCAAAACCTTGGAAGCGATGTTCGACGACTTCACGAGGGATTTGCTCACGATCATCCAATATAGAACCGTAGCTGGGTATCCACCTCAGTTAGCCGAATACACTCATCTCTTCAACTGCGCTCAGGCGATGGGAAATGGTCCCCTTGTCAATGCTCTTTGGGATGGGATGTATGCCAACGATGTCACACCTGACACAGTGTGCTATAATCACTACATGTCAGCACTGGTCTGGAACCACTGTTACGTGGGAAAGGAAGCATACCATACTCGCATCATCCCTCACAGTTACAAAAAGCGGCGCATGATAGATCCGAATCCTGGATGGCGTGGCTACGCAACGGCGTGGAACAGTGTCAAAGGAACTGTGCTGGATATCTTCAGTCAAATGAGCCAGGATGGGCTTACTGGGAATGAGCAGACGTACATCAATATCCTCCTCGCAGCCGCTCGGGTTGGGGACATGGAAGCTACCAAGAGCACCCTCAAGACTGTGTGGAACGTCGATGTTGATGCCATTTCAGCTGAAAGAGATAACTCTATGCTGCCACCAGTTACGCCCTATGATACATGGTCCGGTTTGTACCCAACTGAGCATCTGCTTTTCGCTGTAGCCCATGCCTTTGGCACGAACAACGACATGTACGCTGCCATGAGAACAGTCGACTTCATGGCTTCCTCTTACAACATCAACATTTCTGCCAAGGTTTGGTCCGAGTTGCTTGAAAGGACGTTTACTCTCTCCAAAGAACACAAGCGGAGACAGGCAGAAGATGGGCGAACAGGCCAAGTCCCAAGAGACATGGTCCGCGACCTGTTTGAGATATTGACGACAGAGCCGTATAATGTTCCTGCGACTCTGCAAATGTACAGATTCCTGACCCAAACCAACAAATTGGACCGCAATCTAAAAGCTTGCAAAAGAGACATGCGTAAAGCATATAAAGTCTTGAGCCAAACAAGAGCAAAAAGGAAAGAAGCAAGAAACTCCGTTATGCAATGCCTACAGCCAGTCTTGGACAGCATGAAGCCACCGGCGAACGGTGGCAGGAAAGTGCGAGATGAAACCAAGCACCAACGACAGACTGGTATGGAACCAGACCTGTTACTACTACAGTGTCCCCTGCTCGCCGAAGCCATCAACACATACGATCTCCTCCGGCTCGAAGTGTTCCAGCAAATTTATCAACTGCAGCGCATAGCCTATTCAATAATCATCACAGATAAGTGGAGTGACATATCGCCCAAAGCCTGGGAGCTCCAAGAGCGGCCCAAGCTATTGGAAGAATGGAAAGACTTTCTGCCAGAGCGTAATAGGTACGAATACAGAGACGGGGATGTTGGGATAATTGATTTCCAAGGCGAAACGAATGCCAAGAGCCGCCACATGAGCCAGCATGGCCGCATTCATGCACGGCGGATGCCAGATGAGTCGGAATTGTTCCATCCAATTGAGCCCAAGGTCCTTGATGATAGAATATTCTGGGAAATCTTGCTCCGCGAGTACCCCCAGCTGGACCCATCCGTTTCGCCGCTCAATCGCATCTACTCCTTCCAGGTCGAGCACACCAAAGAATTAAGGGAGAAGCTCAGAAAGCTCAAGACACGGGTTGACTACCCAGAAGAACATCCTTTGTCGCAAGAGAACAATTCTTCTGGTGGGTTTTATGGTCGCATTCATGCACTGGGCTTTGATGCCAAACCCCAGAATTCTATCTTCTGGCGAGATAGCAATCCTTGGTGTTGATGAGCAGAGCGTTTTCTTTTCTTGTTTCGTTTGAATCATTTGCGCTTGCACTTGACGTCAATCAGACATGATATCCCATTTGTACAATTTAATGAGCAGTGCTATCTTTGCCCTTGTCCTTTTCCCCCCAATTTTTCTCGTACTGAGAAATTTGTATGTCCATTGTGAAGCCCCTCGAGTAGATGCGCTTTGTAAGTTGAATAGTAGAGATGAGTTTACAACAAGGCACAAGGCCTTGAAAAATCATATTCAGACGTGAAGCGTTAGATATCAACGCAAGCAAGGAGCGACCAGCCAAAATGATACAAAATCTGAGCAAAAGCAGCACAGATCTGAAACTAGCCCTTCGTCCAGGGCATATCAGTTCCTAAACAGGAAAAAGGCGAGGACCGGTCACCTAGACCTGCTCCCGCTGAAGGTCATTGACAGTCATATATCTCCCAATAGTGATCCACCCCCACCGGAACCAAACCATCTGACTCTTGTGACAGTTTACCATAGCGGACTGTGCAGTCAACCACTCATTTATCGAACTAACAAACAGCAGCCGCACAGGACCAGCTGCAGCCCCCGCATCCTTCTTTCTCGAGCCCATTAACCCAGCAACAAGGTTACTCCACACACCGAGGAACATGGAGACTGGGGCATCAAGAACACCCGCATACTTGCGGAACATCGACGTCGTAGTGAGGGTGTACAGCGTGACCGGACAAGTAAACCCCGCCTTATCTTTCATCAGCGCGTGGACGAAGTTCACAGCGCCGTGGTACAGCGAGCGGTGATTAGGATGATTACTGATGCCATGCTTATCAAAGGTAATGATGACATCGATGGTGGCGGTAGGAGCCTTACTACGATCGACCGGCTTGCCAGGCAGTTTCTGCAGCGCGGCCATTTCCGGCGCGAAAGCCGACGCCAGCAGCGACGAAATCTGGTCCTCGTCCCAGTTCTTGTCCATTCCATCCGGGAAGCGGCTTGTGTCGTCGACAATAAAGACGTCTGATTCGCTGCGCAGACCGAGCTGCTTTGCGGATTTATGGAGCTCTTGTTTGCGCGTCTCGCCTAGGCCGTCTGCGTCGCCGCTGCTGAGACAGAGAATCTTTAGGTGGTTCCCGAGCTCAGGTTTGGTGAGGGTTAGTACGCTTGGCGCGAAGAACATGGCTTCGTCGTCTGGGTGGGCGATTAGGAGGCAGATGCGCTTGTTTTCGAGGCGTGGGAAGGACCGTGTGAAGGGTGAGGAGGAGGTTGAGGAGAGTGTCCAGAATAGGAAGACTGCGGTTATGGCTACCGCTAGTGCGGTCCAGTTGAATGAAATTGACATTGTGGTGTTCAATTGGTGTGGTTTGCGGGTTTGCGGAAGTTGTCTGGAGATCTCGTGGGGTTACACGCTTCGTTGCTTCGCGTTCCGAGTAGGATCGAGAATGGACCTATGGTGGCAAAAGTGGTTGTGTAGCTCAATTAGATTATTGCTGAGGCTGTGGTAATAATTTTGGTCGAGACTGGCGCAATGCGTTGCTCGTTTGTTGTGTGGAATTGTTTATCAGATGGATCAGATCTAAGTCGCAGCATGTGCATGGCGGGGAAATACAAATCATCCGGTCCAATACCTCTGGAATGCAGTATCAGCCAAGCTCATGACGATGTTAGAGCAATCAACAAAGAACACGGTGGCTTGAGTTGCTATCCGAAATAGGGGAAGCTCAAGTGTCCTCTAACGATCCATCTCCGGATGGGGTCACGTGTTGGCTTTTACGTACGATGCCTCTTTGGCCACATTTTCTCATTTTGATTACATGATGATTGAAATCACAATGAAACAAGTCTGATAAGATGTGCATGTGAAGTATTCAAACTCTCAATTATGTTATATTGCAATTCTAAAAGGTTATGCACGGATCCTCTGTCTGTAGCGATCTAGTTGATGTGAAGTGAACCTTGATCATGATGTACTTCCGGTCAGTCATTAGGTGGCATTTAACCCACATCAAGCATTCTATCCTTAATGTCTATATGTAGAAACTTCTGTGTGTCACCGCTACATATCAAGCCTTCTTAGTATCATTTTCTGCTATGAGGCCAAGACTAAATATCTAGTCAGGAGGCACATGTGTAGTTAATCCTGGTGCAAATTGTAGAGCTCTTCCTTCATATTTAGCCTAGCGGCTGAAAAGACAGCATGGGAGTTTCAGAAAACAAGCCAATAGAAGATAAGAGTAGATTGAACCATCAAACCTATGAAAATCAGCTCGTGTTTTTTCAAGTGGCGATGGCTTGTAAGGTTAAAAGATAATAGAGGAATTATAGATCTCAAGCCAGAAGACAAGAAACAGCGGATTGGCCGACTCTCAGGCACCGCAAAATTATACAACTGGTCAGATCAGCTCGATGGAGCGTCGTTGCCAAGGAAACAGTTCCTAATCGCTTCACTTGAACTGATTCCTTCTAAGTTTTCCTTTTGGTTGTGATGTTGAATTTGTTGAAAAATTTAGATCACCCCTTTTTCTATGGACTCAACAATGTTTTTTTCTTCTTTGTACGGAGTACCCAGCATCGCTTATGAAAACCTGGATGAATGAGTTGTGAGTCTTCAAATGTCTTAAACTCACCGTCGTCAATAAATGGACGGCGGGAGCTCTTCACTCTCTATAATACCTCCCTTCCTTTAGATCAAGGATGCAACGCCCGATGGAAGCATATGTATGATAGAGCAACCCCTCAGAGACGCTTGGAATATCTGTGTTGCAACAACCCTAGAAGCCACTAACTGCTTATGCTCCACGCCAAGATCTGATAAAAAGTCTTAATTCGAGACTATGTTCGTGTCACAAAAATCAGAAACGAATCCGGATTGAGGATTGAAGATACTTTTTTTGGGGGGTTTTCTGTTAGGTACGGAGTGCTCCGTACTCCGTACGTCGCGTCCATTTTGTCAGCTAACTACTCCGTACAAAACCAACATACACTCCGTATAACTTCCTTGATTTTAATAGACAAGCCTGGCCCATTACCACACGAATTCTTTTCACACCGCCAAACTAAAAGCCATTGCACCATTAAACCGGGTAACGGGCCGGTTCTCATTACGATCATCTTATTGCCAAGCTGATGGTTAGCTAATTGTTACCCCAAGAGATGAGCGGCGGTCTCCGACGCATGACCTACGGAGTAGAAAAAGTCGAAACCACTCTTTTCCGCCCCATCAAAAGTGGATGCGATTCCACAGCGTGTAATCTATTCTTTAATAAAGCCATAGAAGGGAGGAAAACATCCAGAATACGAGAACCAGGGATGAGAGTGACCATAGCGGGCCGTGAGAGGTGAGGCTAAAAAGGTCAGGTTGCGACGGGCCGAGTATAAAGTTCTGAGTGGATGACCGACAGAAATTTTCTGCTTTCCCGCGCCTAAGCGGACACCCGACCATTTTCCGTGCAGAACTATTTTTTTATGTATTTTTAGGGAATTTCAATGAGTTTCAGCTTCAGTTTGGCGGTTTTAAATGGCGCTATTTTTAAAATGTTGGAAAATGAGAAGTAATTTCCCAGATATGGAGGAGGGAGTACTCCATACGGAGCACAGGGTTACGCAACAAACATCACCTGTGCCAATGTAGCTGAGGACATCACTATCACTTGTGACGATACTGAGATGGCGTTATTCTAACCGGGTATTGTTGTATGGCTTATGTGCGGAGCACGTTTCTCCACGATGGAAGCCGTACTTTGTACCCTTCTCAACTCCGGATAATTGAAGTGAAATTCGGCAAGGAATGAAATGTCGAAAACTAGTTTTAAAAAAAAGGCGGATCAAATGCCGGCGGAAAGAGATCGGAGGGGCAATCCGAGATCGCCCCGAAAGAGGAAGTTCGCCTGAGACGCTTACCGATGTCCCTTTTACAATAATGGCTAGTCCATCCGAAGAGCCACCGGCAGACGACAGCCACTGATTTGCGATCGTGACTTCCGAGCCGTTGACAAAGGGTGAAGGAGATTGACCACAACTAGCCTCAACCCTGGTATTCCTCCTGTAGCCTGTCCGTGGAGAAGGAGAAATAAAGGAGACAGTGTGGACCTACTACGTATGATGTGGTAAAGGGGATAGCTCTATCACGACTTGGTATGGACCTATATTGGGAAGAATTTTGCGCGATATACAATATAATTGAGGTATTTACGGAATACAGAGTAGATCGATCGACTTAAGGCACATCATTAAATCTATGCTGCACCAGAAGCTGACGTGCCAGGGATTGCAAGAAGGAAGCGGAATTGCATCACCGCATCCGCGTTCCCAGCCCAATTCAGCCACAACACATGCCGTGGCGTGATCAAATCCCTCATCTTACTATAGAGCTCTGAGGAAACCTGTACTTTTAACGGCTCTGTAGTGGATGAGTTAGGGATCCGGACCCGACGCACGAGCCCAGACAAGCCGCAATTCTTCAAGCTCCCTGCATGCACATAACATGTCTTGTACTGCAGCTCCAGTCCTTGGACATCCTGCGCGTGAGGCTGACGCTTATAGGTGAGTGTGAGCGGTTAACTGCTGATGAGTGCTGTTACTGTTAGGTAATTCGTGTGCGCGGCCGTGATGGTGATTCGTCAGGGGGGCGGACCTTGGGGGAGCACGGTGCACACCTTGACAGTGGAAGGGCTAGAACGTTTATTTTAGACGTTGGGCTATATACATCGTACTTTATATCTGTTGGCATATTTGATCTGCTTCATATCTAATGCTTTCTGCTGCTGCTGCTGCTCTCTCTCTCTCTCTTTCTTTTTTTTCCATCGTTCGGAAAAGATTTTACAGACCTTGCAATTGCTCAGACCTATGCCCCGCATAAGTGCAAGCCTTGCAGTGCGGGGGTATAGGCGTATGTTGCACACATAAGGATTGGCGAGCGCCGTGGTCTTGATATGGCAATGCGTACCCCCTGAGCGTAGAACTCCTATAGTCCACTTTTATAGATCAGACGACCCGAACTTCTTTTCAGGCGGTCAACGAGAAAAAACAAGAAAAGAAAAATTTTCCGGGTGGAGCTCCGCGAAGGGTCCTTTTCCATCGCGTTTTGTTGTCCCAATGCGGAAAAGGAGACTTATTTAGGGGGGGCGCTAGTCGAAGATCCTCTGGAAAGGATGCTGGCCGGTATTGTAATGGCCCAGTATGGTATGGGTTTGTCATTTACCAAGGTCTGGACACTCCACCGTGCCGGTCTATTACTGTCATTCTACGCCATCACGCCACGTGATGGCTTTGTCTAACCTTGGATTCGGCCTATGCTGTATACTCCGTACATCGCTTTGTAAACGTGTGAAAAGGTGTATTAATAGACAGCTGATGAAATTACGTTTTAAACATTTGGTAGAGCAGTAAATGAAGTAGTGAGATTTGCCTGTAGGCCGTCGTGCCAAGATCAAGATGTTCAGAGGCAAAAGACACACCTCACACGTCTTCGTGTGTCTGATAGGGTGAAGAGCTTGATGATCTAAAGTCAGGGTGTCTTCCAAGGTTCCCTGCAACACAAGTACGGACGATCTCATCATTGGTCACATTGAGTACCTACATAGCTAGGTTTCAAGGCTGTAGATTGAACCCCGCGACCAAACATGAAGCAAATCCAACACTCTGTATATCAAGCCGAGTAGGTTGTATGCGCAAAGCTATCCGACCGGCTTGGCCGAACCGGTACATCGTAGGTACGTGAGTCATTGCGTTCGGTAATTTTGCATTTTGTTGTAGGGCTGGAGCCAACAGTGGCATCATGTGCTCCGAATAACTGCCCTGATAGGGTCTAGCCTGGAATTTCCTGAGGGTTCCTTCGTGATCGAAGCATGATGCCGACACTATCATCTGGGATGTGGGGTAGACGTGGACAAGTCAGGCGATAGTAAACTCCCGAGGTCTGAGAAAGATATACGGAGTAGTAGTTTGTCTCGTTTTAACGTACATTGCAACCTCTCAAGTACATCAAAGATGTCTAATAAAGGTTCGGACTCGTTGTCTCGGCATCTAACCCGCTACGCGACATATGCAGATGAGATGATGCCATGTTTGAATGAGACGACCATAGGTAGAATTGCGACTTGATGGAAAAGGATGATCTCAGAATAACAAATCCATCCAACTTGGGACCTTGGAGGGGTAAGATCACGAATGCATTGTATTTTTTTTGGGTGTCATTACACGGTATTTGTTTTGTCAGACTCCACTATGACGCTGTGTCACACCCCACTACCTTTTCTTTTTGCTTTTTTTTCCCTTCTAATTGAATGCGTTCTCCGTACCTGGCGAGTGGACACAAAGGAAAAAAGAAAAAAAAAAAGAAATTACTTTTTTTTGGTTTTCATTTTTTTTTTAGTTTTTCCTACGGGTTCAGTGAATTGGCACATGATTGTTCTTGCCATTCAAAAGCAGCGGGTTGCGCACTTGACAGTTTGGATTTCTTCTGCAGATCATCCTCCCCTACATACGACTCATATTATGTGCTGGATTGCTTCATCGGCTTCTCAATTATTCCATCACCGTACTGCGTCTTGAACCATTGAAGTCCTATCACATCCTCTAATTGAGCGCCTACAAAAATATCACAGCCAAGATGCCGGGCCGTTTAATCCCCAACCTGATTCGGAACGCCAGTTCGCTGCACTCCTCCGTCACATCGTCTCCCAACCACTCCAACTCCTCCTCAACCGTCTCCGTGAATGAGATCCCTGGACATCCAAAGAAGTCAGCCAAGTTAGAGCGCGCACGCTCCCCCGAACGCCGTTTATCCTTCACCATGGATCACTTTATCCACCCTCTTCGGGACCACAGCAAAGAGAAGCGCCGTAGTTTAGGACGCGGTGGACGTTCTAAGGAGCGTTCCAGCCATGACACGCACTCGCCCGCGGCCAAGCTGGATGTCCTGGTCGAGTCACCGCCATTAGTCTGCTACGGACCACCTGCTAGCTCTACTGGTGCATTGTTCTCTGGGCGCTTACGCATTGCTGTCTCTGAGTTGACTGGTGGAGTTACCTTGAGCCAGTTTGACGTACGCCTCGTCTCCAAGACAAGCACCAAGAAGCCTGTCTCTCACCACTGCTCCAACTGTGCTACTCGCACAGAAGAGTTGACTCAGTGGAACTTCATCACCGAGGACCTTCACCTCGATGGTGGGGATCACGACTTCCCTTTCAGCTACTTGTTCCCCGGTCACCTTCCTGCTTCTTGCAATGGTGTGCTGGGCCAAATCGAATACTTCCTGCTGGCCCATGCGCGGAGCGTCACTGGAGAGGAATATAGCCTCAAACTGCCTCTGGACCTTGGTCGTTCTCTGCTCCCCGGGCCCGACAAGTCCTCCATCCGCATCTTCCCTCCAACCAACCTCACTGGCCGTATTGTGCTACCCTCCGTCATTTACCCTATTGGACACTTCCCTGTTGAGATGACCTTGAGCGGCGTGGTCGACAAGGGCGAAAAGACTCAGACCCGCTGGCGTCTTCGCAAGATGATGTGGCGCATTGAAGAGCAACAGAAGATTGTGTCCACTGCATGCCAGAAGCACGCTCACAAGATTGGCGGTGAGAGCAAAGGTGTTCTTCATCAAGAGACTCGCGTCATCGGACACAACGAGGAGAAGAGCGGCTGGAAGACCGACTTTGACACCGCTGGTGGTGAGATCACCATGCAATTCGATGCGAACATCAACCCGGCTGCCAACGCCGTCTGCGACATAGAGGCCCCTGGCGGTCTGGAAGTCAAGCACAACCTCGTCATCGAGCTTATCGTGGCCGAGGAATTTTGCCCTAATGGCAACACCCGTCTGATTACTCCAACTGGTGCTGCGCGTGTGCTTCGCATGCAGTTCCACCTCCATGTCACCCAGCGTGGTGGTCTTGGCATTAGCTGGGACGAGGAGATGCCTCCAATTTATGAGGATGTTCCTGCCAGCCCTCCCTGTTACACCAAGCCCGGTGGCGCTCACAGCTTCATCGAGGACTATAACGATTCTCCGCTCCCCGACCATGCAGACCTGGAGCGCATCGACTCTTTGCGATTGGACAGTAGTTCTACTCGCTCTTCCGCCCTCTCCTCCAATCAGTCTTCTCATGGCTCCACACACGGCCGGTTGCCGCGCTTTACCACTGACGATCTCGTCACTGGGGAGTCGCCTGCTGCCTCGCCCATTCCCTCGCGCGCTCCTTCTCGCGCTCCTTCTCGCGCTCCTTCTCGCGCTCCTTCTCGCGCCCCTTCCATTGACTCCTCCCGCGAATAAAATTACAAAATTTCCATTTTCAATCAGCTATCTTGATTATCGTTCTCCTTTACGACTTGACGATTCCTACGATCAACCAAAAAATTACCCCCACATTACAACGCTTTTTCACATTCCACCATTATTTCCTTTTCTATTTCTTTCTTCAAGGATTTGATCCTCTTCACTTGTTACAGTCCTACTTAAACGAAGGGCTTCGTGATACTAGCGACGGAAAGGAAATCGGCCACGCAAAACAGTCGGGCTGCCACGCATTTTCAGGACGGGTCTTGTTCCAGCCAATTTTGCAAGATACCCAATTATCATCACTTGTGCATAATACCTTTTTTTTCGCTTCTACTTCCTTTCTTCCACCTTCTGCCATACCTATGGATCAGTTTGGTTATGGGCTCACCTGCATCATGTCCACATCTTCCTCGGTTTTCAGGGTTATGATTCTCTTCTTTGAGTGTCCTGATTCTTCCAAATTTTTTCTCCTTGACACTTAATCAATTCACGATAACGATCTATGACACATCTCAGTTATTGTACTGATCAACTGTAAATACCTTTCACAAACTGTGCATATCGAAAATGTCCGGACTGGGCGATACGTACCAACTTTGGATGAAATACCAATAATCAGGGCGATAATATAGCCATCTTAGATGTTGAAGTAAGAGTAACGAAGAGATTCCTATGCATTTGTCTCATCAGCAGCTCAAATCCTCTATCTATACTACTCAGTTCTACCAACTTCCCATGCAATCTCAAGCGGGACACTGGTCTTGCAGGAGTCTCTCATCTTATGGGGTTCTCTAATCCTATCCAAAGATCAACGACAGCAGCCACTCTATAACCATGTTAAAGCCCCCAACAATGACCACCCCTTCCATGGAACTCACGTCTCCCTAGCAAGATTCTGCTCAAGAACAGTATTATCAGCACCTTGAATCACCGCCGTAATGCAAGTATGCTGAATGAACAGCAAACCCTTGCCTCCAGCCATAAACGATGGGTCGACAATGAACATGGGAAAGTGCACGTGTTTTTCTGCCATATCAACCAGTGGGCTCTATGTAAGTGCGACTTGACATCATCTAGGCAGGATGGATTCGGAAACAAAAAGGCAAGTGAAATGAAACCGGAGATGTTGCGCGTGGGGCATTTGTGACGCCCTGGGATTTGGACTGTAATATTTTAAGGGGTGAGTATGGGGTTCACCTAGATTTACCTTCATGGACCTCATGGCGTTTCCGCTGGAACCAAGTCTAAAGCTACAAAGCCTTTACGCTGCGAGCTAGTAGCAACACTCAATCCCATTAATCGTTTGGTGATGACTTGTCCATCTCAAAACTTTGCACCATCTCTAGGGAGACATCGATTTCATCTCTGTTAAACCCTTGTTTCTCCATTGATCACTCTGGCTTCTTCATGAATGGCGCTTTAGCCAGGGCATCCGCCTGTATCTTCCATATTGCCGTGCCCAATTTCACGATTTCGGACCCGAAGTCCTCGACCAATGTTTCTACGGAGGTGTCTTCATCCAATCTCACCTTGCCCTGCTCTTCATCAGAGCCAAACGTGGCAATCTGCCAGATTCTCTTCCACCGCTTGACCGCTTCGACAGCCTCTGGGTTTTGACTATCAAGATTGGTAGCAACCATGTAAAAGGACGAGCGCTTGGCATGGCATTTCTTCGGCTTGAAAAGTTGAACCGAGGAGATCTTGTGAAACTTCCAAATGAGATTAACCGTGTTCCACGATTCAAGCCCGTGAAGAAGAACGACCATAGTGCCACCAGATCTTAGGTGCTGGAGACCCAGAGCAAGCTGCACAGTGGCCAGCCTTGTCGCTTCCCGGCTCTCTCGATAAGGAGCGCGTGGATGTTGCCTCAATACCCGGCCGTCACAGATCACCAAATCAAAAAGCCGACCTTCTGCAAGTTGTCGGGGCAGAAAGTTCTCAGCATCTTCATGGCCCTCGGGTATCTGGTCCAGATCCATGTCGGCAGCAAGCATAGTCACATCGAGGAATACTCGTCTGGCATTCAAGCCGCTTGCCAGATGGCTTCTATGTCCTCCACGGGAGACAGGCCGGCTGAAAGCCAGGGCATGTGAGCCTGGATTCTTTTTCAATGCTATCTCGAGGAATGCACCGGGGGCCATGCACATGTCAAGAATGGTAGGCGGGGTTGAATCCACCTGTTGGATTTTGAAGGCACGTGTGGCCGCGTCAATTTCGTGTCCGATTGTGAGCATTAAGTTATAAAAGTAGGTCGCTGTCTTTTCGTCGGACTGGTCCGCATTTTCACAAAGGTTCGCAAAGTCTTCTTTGCCCTCCAGGGCTTCCCATCCCTGTAAATAGCATGGTTAGAAACATGTGTATGACACTTGGATTCGGTGTGGTTTACCTGCTGTCTCAAATCACTGAGTTCTCGGAACTCTGGACACTTTTCTAACAGATAGGGTACAATAGACCTGATCTTTTCGGCACGATCTTCGGTAGCGTCCTCTGTCCGCTGAGGGTCGTTGAGTTGGCGATCGTGTGGGAGAGCAGAGGCTTCCACCTGTGCTTGACTTAAATGAATTGCCGCCATGATTTGGTAAATAGACCCGAGGTGATTCTCAGAAGGTCCAATCGTAGGTCGATGACAGGATGTGTAGGTGAAATCATGCAAACCAAACTTGAGCTCATGTGGTTCACGTCAATGTCCTTTAGCGAGATAATGCCGTGCCTTCCTTTGTTTATTTCGTTTGTCTGTCACATTGCATAATGCCTGATTCAATGGGATCAGATCTAGCCTGGTCAAACAGATACTATACACCCAGGGACAAGAAACCGTGAACTCAAAGCCATTGGCGTTATGAAGCATGTATACTCTGGGTGGTCAAGATACTTTGACCTGCCAAGATGAAGTGTAGTAAGGGTAGAGTTACAGAGAAGATCTCTTTTGTTTCAGTTTCATTGATGAAAAAATTGGTATGGTTTGTCTGTTTGTATGTAGGAGATCACAATTCACATCGAGGATGAGCGGCCATGGAAAGACAAAGGAGAGTTGACATCAAGGAGAGCAACATTGTAAAACGCTAAAGATGATGAGACAAAGGATATTTCCAACTCCGGAATGAAAACCCCAAGAATGTTATTCGTGATAAAAATGCCCTCGCATGGGACTCGACGATGTAGTTGTGGGGAATGCGAAATGAAAAGTGAAAGTGCAGCATGACGTGAGGATGCGCTTGAGGAACAGAATCATAGTCCCTCACCACGGAGAAGGCGCCAAAGGATTCCTTCACCGGGACCAGCAATCTGGCTCTCAATTTCTTGCTGGGAGACAAAGCAGACAAGAGCTTGCTCGTCAAGGGCTTTGTGAGGAGTCGAAGGTACATGGCCGGATTTTGAAGGTGTGCGGCGCAGATCTGTGCCACCTGCAACAGTTCCACCTCGACCACGACCCTGATATTCTCCAACCAAGCCCATTGTTTCCAAATTACTGAGAACGTCCTTAAACTCAGTGGCAGTCAAGGGGTGCAAAATGTTGTCATTGCGACACAAAGCACAATATGTATCAAATGCTTGCTTGATGGTGGGTGCAGATGTACGCGACTTGGAAGGTGTGCTTGGGACCTCGAGCTGGCGGCGTTTGCGTTCAAGCGCAATTAGAGAGCAGATAGCGGCTTTCTGTTGCAGGTTCAAACTTTGAAGTCTTTGAACAGTGCCCTGACCGAAAGCTGCGGATGTGATTCGGGCAATGTGGGCGATGCTGGCTCGGGGTGCCGTGATGACTGTGTAGCTCGACATGGAGGTTGGCTTCGGAATACTGCCGACTTTGGCAGGCGAAGACAAATTGGTGTTCTCTCCTAGTATCAAAAGATTCTCAGACTCCTTCGCTTGCTTTTCCAACTTTTGCAAAGTTTCCTGTTCAATGACGTCGATTGCCCGCTTGATCAACTCAAAGGCCTTGCGGAGATCACCTGTCTGCGAGGCTACCTTCTTGGAGCAAAGTTGGATGGCGGCCGGTTGAACAAAGGGGACAAGCTTCGGGTCGGATTCTGCCCCCGCAGGGAGCAACGAGCGGAGACGATTGGTCATGACGTTTGCGATAGATGCAGCACTGTACGGCAAAAAGGGAAGCAAGCAGGGCTTCAGGTTCTTCGCCTTTAACTGTGGGAGAGATCGGTCGGTCAAATCAAGGGCGTTAGCGATGCCAATCAGCATCAGCTTGGAGTTGCCTTGCAATGACCATTCGAAAAGTGACTGCAAAACCCCCGAGTCGCCATTGAGCAGATGGTCGATTTCATCCAAAGTGACCAAGAAAATATCGTCCCCCTTCTCAGATGGAATGAACGTAGATTTGAGGCGATCCCCCTCGCTCTTCTTGAACATATCCGAGTCTTCGCAGAAATCTTGGATGAGTCTGCTGTAGACATCGCGAGAGATTCGCATGCTTGCGCAGTTCACATGGGAAACTTTGACTTTAGAAAGATCGAGATCTCCACATACTTCCTGGACCATGGCACTCTTTCCAGTTCCTGGAGGACCGCTGATATAGAGGCACCCTCCTTTCCGAGACTCCACTCCTTCTGTGATAAAAGACACCAGCTTTTCCCGCTCCGCATCACGTCCCACTAAGCGGCCCGTGTTGAAGCCCCGTGCAAACAGTTGCCTAGCTTGCGAATACACCGAGTTCACAATTTTCGGAGTGGCACTCTGTCGGGGGGTCGGGGGAAGATCGGCATGGCGGGGAGTGCGTGGTGTTACTGCCTTTGCTCCGACCTGCACACGATGCCTAGGGGTGATGGGAGATCGCGGAAGATCATCTCGGAATCGTGATTTCGAAGGTGTCTTGAATTCGAACTCGAGAGGTTTCGTAATTTCTTCTGCGTGTCTGATCAGCGCTGCCTCAGGCACCACATCCAAAACTTCCCACCTACCTTCCACTGGTTTTGAGACGGTGAAATGTGAATTTGTCTTGACCGGAGATTTGAATTGATCATCGCTTAAGGCATGTTTAGAAGCCAGATTCTCCGACAATGTCTTGCTATCGCCATTTTCTTGGTCGGGTTGTTCGACTGCTTTCTTGACATTAGACCTTGTTCGTCGTAGTGAAACGGTTTCCCGTTGGTGAACTCGAGGAGCATCTGTTCGCCGTTTGCTCGTGGCTCGGACCGGTAATGCTAGAAAGGTGGGTGAGAACTTAAAGATTAGGACCAGAGGAAGGTGGGATGGCTGATCTTACCTGGGTCCACAGCACCGTGAGTGCGCTTTCCTAAGACCGTTCCTGACATGACTTTGGACATAAAATAACAAAGTAGGGACGATGGACGAAGTTTCCGCAGAAGTTTGAAACAAATATCAGGAAAGAAGGCCCAGAGCTTAGTTAGGAAGTGTAATTGGCAGCTCCACTACTGGCTCCTTCCACGCGCCGGACGCGTCGCGCGTAGAGCTACGGCCAATCATTTTCACCACACGTGCAGTTTTCAAGACTTAGTCAGCTGCGTCACTGGCCACCTCAGGTGTCTATGATCGTCTCGAATCGAGATGACGGAATCCTTTCAGCCTACGTGAAGCTTGACATTGTTTTTCTATTTCTGTTTCTTTTTCTTTCTTACTTTCTGTCGACCTCTTTTTTGGGACCTGGTGGTCTTCTGGTTTGCAGTGGTCTGCACCAAATCTCGCCCCCACATAGCACATCCTCTGAGTCTTTACCCCATTTCATATTACGCCTAAGCTTTCAGTGGGTATCCAAAGTCAATCCTTCCAACACTCTTTTCTAAAATTGAGACACTTCTTAAGGAACCTCATTCGATACACTGCCTACCATGGATAACGACGTGGTAGCTCAGTTCACTGAAATTACCGGCTCCACGCCGGAGCTGGCTATTCAGTACCTGCAGATCACCGAGTTCCAAATCGAGCAGGCCATGCAGCTTTACTTTGAAAGTGGAGGCGCACCCTTGACTGCTGAACCTTCTCGGCCCTCTCATCTGTCTGGAATCCCACACGATTCCGAGGTGGTGAATATTGACTCGGATACTGATGACGATACCCCCCAACACATCGCCCCGCCAACATTCGATGACGACGAGGCTATGGCTCGACGCCTCCAGGAGCAAATGTATGGTGGTACAGGTGGCATAGAAAATGAAGTTGAAGTGAGAGCGCCGTTAGCGCGGACAACGGAGACTTTGGTGGGCCCCGGGGCGGACTATGACAGTGGTGAAGACATGCACGCCAACATCCTCAGCCAACTACGAGCTCGTGGTAGATCAGGTGGGTGCTATCCATGTTTCCAAAATTTTCAATAACTTGAACTGACACTTGACTCTAGGCCGAGCCGGAATCTTCAACCAGCAAGAGTCATCTTCCATATGGACGGGCAGTGATGAATCTCGTCGCGAAGCGCTTTCTGCCGCTACTGGGGGCGCATCGGAAGCATCTTCCAAATCAAATCTGCTCGCCGAAATGTACCGTCCTCCATTTGAAATCATGTCACGACTGCCTTGGGATGTGGCGCGCGAGGAGGGAAAGGACACCGAGAAATGGCTGCTTGTCAATGTCCAGGACGCATCAATCTTTGACTGTCAGGTTCTGAACCGTGATTTGTGGAAGGACCGTGGGGTGCAAGATACCGTCAAGGAGCATTTCATTTTCCTGCAGTACTCGAAAGATGACCCCCGTGCCTCTTCCTACCTCCAATACTACTTCCAGGGAAGCGATGTCTCCGACAACTACCCCCACATTGCTATCGTCGACCCTCGGACTGGTGAACAAGTGAAGGTCTGGTCTGGACCGCCTTTGGTCAAAGCCGCCGACTTTCTCATGCAACTTCACGAATTCCTCGATCGTTACAGCTTGAACCGCAATGTGCGCAACCCTATTGCCAAGCGCAAATCCGACAAGAAAGACAAGAGCATTGATGCCATGACCGAAGAGGAGATGATGGAGATGGCAATGAGAAATAGTCTTGGGGCCGCAGCAGAAGCTGGTCCAACGCTCGAAGACCCTGATGAATTGACGCGCAGTACAGACAATGTTAAGGGCAAGGGCCGAGCTACCGACGAGGAAGATGTTATCATGGATGAACCGGAGGCAGCTGCCGAAGCCTCCCCATTTTCATCTATCCCCGGCGACCAACCACACACTGAACCCGCTGCGGACCCGGCCACAACTACACGCATTCAGTTCCGACACCCGTCTGGCAGAGTTATTCGGCGTTTCTTATTGGCAGATCCCGTTCAGAGAATCTATGAATGGCTCAAGGCCGATCCTCCTTTGGAAGACAAGGCTGGTGTCGAGTTTGACCTGAACAGCATGGGGCGCAATCTCATTGATCAACTTACTACGAGCATTGCAGATGCGGGACTGAAGAATGGTACGGTGATGATTGGATATCTGGAAGAGTAATTCTCTTGCTTTGTTCTATTGGTCTTATCGTCATGCTGCAACGTTTTGTGGATTTCTGCGAGGCGTTGATGGAAATGAATTAGATCCCGTGGGATCTCACCTTTGTTTCCAAGCTGGGTTTCGTCATTTCGGAGATGTCATTCAACCTACCAGGCTCTCCAGTTGTGCACCTAGATGTGAGAGTGTACATAGTACCAAAGCTTGCCTGGAAAGCATGGAATGAATTACGATTATCAAAACGTAGTCACCACTAGGAGCCGAAAAACAGTGATCCATAGAAAAGAAAGCTGAGTAATGTTGCCTCTGCAGTAACAGTGATGGAATATCCGCCAGGCTATGCGTTAGGTCTCATTCTTGGTGTTGTTCTTATCAATACCATCGGCTGGCGATGGGGGTTTTATATTACCGCCATAATCGATGTCGTACTCTTTGTTGGTTCCATCTTAATCCTTCCATCAGACGCGAATTCGATGAAGCTTTGACAGGCTACATGGCACAAGCTTGCTTATCACATTGATTGGATTGGCGTAGCAGTTCTCGCCTTGACATTTATACTCCTATCCCATGTACGTGCATGAGCCATTCTTGACCTTTGTATTTTGAGTCCTTTTCCAGACGTTGCTTACATTTTTATAGGATGATTGCATATGCCTACAGGAACATGTCCGAGCCCCAACACGTTGTGCTGCTGATCATCTCCATACTACTTATCCTTGCCTTCTCGCTTTGGGTGAACTGGCAGGTAAACGCACAACAGGCCAACCTTGGTTCCAACCGTTTTATGGTAAAATTTGCTGTTTCTTTTCATCCGCGTGGCCATGTTCTTCACATGGGCGAGGTTCTACTCTTTCCAGTACATATCAATCTTGTTCTTTCAGGACGTCCAGGACATCTCAGCCCTCCAGGCTTCCAATCGCTTCTTGCCTATGGCTGTAGTGGGCGTGGCCACCAACATAGTCACTGCTTATCTGGTGTCAAAGGTGAATGGAAACCTGCTGCCGGGGGGGATGAGTGCCCTGATGACCGCAATTTCCCCTATCTTAATGACAGTCGCCTCCCCCAACTGGACATGTTGGGCTGCAGCCTTTGTTGCTATGACTTATAAGTGCAATCAACCGCGATGGTGAGTAACTTAGTCAACTGATGAATTTAATAAGAATGACACAAATGCTGACTTGTCGTTTGCCTATTGCTATGGACTGTGTCTAGTCTGGTAATTTCTCGGACATTCCCTGATGACTCAATGACCCTGGCTGGAAGGGGGGGGGGGCGGGCGGCGGGGGGTTCTTCGATACCATCTCCCAGCTGGGCAACTCTATAGGACTGGCTGTCACTAATGTCATAGCCGCTTCCGTTATTGCCCATGATGATGGCTCGGCAGACGATTAAAGTATAACTTCTCAAACGGGCGGTCAGCTTCTAGAGGGATGTCGTATCGGGTATTGCCCTATATATGCTGGCAAGGTAGTTGTCTTCCTAGTGAGCTGTCTGGGGCTTCGTCGTGTGAGAAAAGTTGGTAAGAAGTAAGACTAAGAGCTTGTAATGGTCAAAGGAGACGGCAACTGGTACAAGTACCTATTTTTGGCCTTGAAAGTGGGGTATGTCTCCCAATTTTTCTTCAAATTGGTCTTTCTTTGTTATGGATTGATTCTATCGATATAGGGTTTTGGAACTGGATGTATATAGAACGTTCGAGTACTTGTGCCTATTTCCCGGGAAACAAAGCTTGGCTGGATTATCAGTCATCCTGTGAGTGATTGAAGGTACTGGTCACACCCATCGTCTCATCAAATGTGCTCTATGATTCAAATGGCGGCTTCATTGTTCGTCGTATGACACCGTCCATTTGCTCCAGAATCGCTTTCAAAGATAGGGAGAGCCTTCATCTGAGAGGGAAAGCCAAAAGATCCAAGTTCACTGCCGATGTTAAGAGTGTTTTCCCATCCCGCAGCAAGATAGTCCCCCCTATGTACGAGGACCAACGTCAAGGTTAGAAATTTTCCGAAGGGAGTCAGATAGAGCTTTTAAGGAGCCACCAAGAGAGATAATCTCATCTCTATAAAGCTCAATCTCAACGGCTAGTGCTTAGTTGGTTAGAAAGAAAAGTTTAGAAGAGGCGGGAACCCCAGCGGTGAAAGTTAAGATATTTAATTAATATTAGAGATTAATAAGCGGAATCAACTGTGGCCTACTGCCGTAGAACATTCCAATTGGACTCGAAAAGCCATTAGAATACACCGCCCCCAGATAAGCGGCGGCAAAATAAGCCCCCCCCCCCCCGCCGTCGATAAACAAGGCTTACAACCTAAGATCTCCCTGAGAAGCCTGGGGAGTGATAAGAAATGATCGTAACGTGAAGAGCATGACACAAACGATCTGGAATCCCACGATCACCATCGCAGCACCTGCTCCGACTGAACAATTGTCTTTGTTTACCAGTTGACATCTTATCCATTGTGAGCACCCAAACGAACAACGCCGTCTCTCCTCTTCCTTCTCTCCTTTTGCAGTCCTGAAATCTTGCGATCCTGAGACATAGATCGCCCATCTGATCTAATCGAATCAGCTTGATTGGATAACAACGTCATTTTACCCCAGACAGCCTTCTCGAGTCCACTCTCGAGCACCGTCACGTACGGCCTCAACCCACACACCATCCTCGTAATAGGCGACTGCCGGTCGTGGATCTGACAATTGAACAAAAGCCTCGGCAGATCCAAGCTTGATTAATGTCCATTGTTGCCATCCAGTGACTTGGATAATCTGCCAAAATGCCGCCTCCCATCGATCCGGAAACTATTTATACCAAGCAAACTTGCATTGGTAAGTTTTCCAACACTTGGGCCTTGAAGAGCTTCATATGGTGGCTGACTGCTATGTGATTCCGTAGGCGGTGGAAGCTTTGGCAAGGTGTTCAAAGGGTAAGTCGAGGACCATCCATATCAACAAACAGCTGACCTAATTCGGGCAATTAGTCTAGATAGACGCACTGGAGAATCAGTGGCAATTAAAATCATTGACGTCGAGAATGCTGAGGATGATGTCGACGATATCATCAAGGAGATTGCCATCTTGTCTGAGCTGAAGTCGCCCTACGTCACCAAGTACCATGGCTCATACTTGAAGGGGTCCAATCTGTGGATCATCATGGAGTTCTGCGCTGGTGGCAGTTGCCACGGTCTCTTGCGACCTGGTGTGATCCATGAAGAGTACATTGCCATTATTCTGAGGGAGCTTCTGCGCGGGCTGGACTATCTCCACAGTGACCAGAAGTTGCATCGAGACATCAAAGGTACGAAGATCTCAATTGGTTGAAAGGGAGATAGGATTGTATGGCGACTAAAATTTTCGACTGCAGCTGCCAACATTCTTCTCAGCGCGAGTGGACAAGTTAAATTAGCGGACTTTGGCGTGTCGGGACAACTGTCGGCAACTATGACCAAGAAGAATACCTTTGTAGGCACTCCGTTCTGGATGGCCCCCGAAGTCATCAAGCAATCTGGATACGATTACAAGGCCGACATCTGGTCCTTGGGTATCACGGCAATTGAACTGGCCTGCGGTGATCCTCCATATGCCGACATCCACCCGATGAAAGTGCTGTTTTTGATTCCCAAGAACCCGCCCCCCACATTGGTAGGCGATTTTAGCAAGCCTTTCAAGCAGTTTGTCGAACTGTGTTTGCGTCGAGACCCCAAGGAGCGACCATCAGCCAAGGAGCTTCTTGAGCATCCGTTCGTGAAGCGCGCCAAAAGAACAACCTACCTGACAGAACTCATTGAGCGCGCAGAGCGTTGGCAAATAACACATCGAGGCCAAGATGACGAGGATGAATATGATGACGGGCATGATGATAGAGAAGCCGATCTAACCGCAAACGCCAGAACCCAAGAAAAGGAAGACCTTTGGGATTTCGGGACCGTTCGTCCTGTGGGAAAAGCATCTGCACCCCCGTTGCGCCCTATGAAAGGCCCTGACCCTAATGAGCGAACAAATAAGACAGAAGAGTGGGATCTGTGTGATGAGACACCCCGACAAGCCGGAATATTCCAAACCCAATCACACGTTCAAGTGACCTCAGCAAGCCCTGCTTGCAATGTTTCTCCCACCAAAATCCCTCTACCTCCCTCTGCTCCATCTTCCCCTCTCAAGCAACGTTCCTCCCAGACTGCACTTCCTCCACGCAAAGTCGTGTCTCCAGTGGCTAGCAAATTTGTAGTAGACAATCTCCCCACGAGAGGATTGAACGAACAATACGCACAGGCAGCGACTCACTACGCTGGCAAGCTTGATACTGCTTCTTCAACCAAACCCAGATCCGCGGTTAGTAACCAGGGCATTCTTGCCAACCAAATATCCAGCATTCCGCTCCATGATCAATATCGCACCCCATCTGGTCAAATTTTGAACAAACCAGCTCAACTTTCTTGCACCGTTGCTAATCCTCTGAGACACCAGCCACAATCTCCGCGCATCCCTCTCTCAAGACACACAGACCCACTGCAACACGCAAAGCCAGTTCCTGGACTCAAGTCCAAGCGTGCACCAGCAAACATGGATGACCGTGCTATCTCTCACCGCTCTACCCCTCCCACCCCCACTTCCAGCGACCACAAGCGCTCCACCCGGCCTCTCCCTGAGCCTGAGCGTACAACTGCCTGCGGAACTGTGATTCTCCCGGCCCTCCGTGCAGCCATGGACCGCCGCCGCAACCACCTCATCCGTCTCGAACCCGGACGCAATCCTAACGAGCCCCCGTCTACTCCAGAAGAAGAAAAGGACTTCGACCGCAGCGTCCGCATCCATCATGGTCTGGAGAAGGTTGCCGAAGATATCGCTCGAGCTTTCAACAGCCTCCACCACTGGGATATGGAGAGACCTGTTGACATGGGCGGTGGTGTTGATGCTGTTCTCGACGCGTTCCTCGAGGAGATCCTCGTCCGATTGCAGCCCCGTACCGACCCGTAATGAACGCGTTTGAATTTTGTTTGAGTATAAATGAGTGTTCTCAATGGAGTTTCTAGGACCTGTCCTTCGTGCTATTTCACTCCATGCTTCTTTGTTTCGTGAGGCCTAGGTCTCTTCTTCTTTCATATATGTTATGTGTAGGAGTTAACATTTCTAACGGAATTGTCATCTCTGCTCTCAGTTCTCGCATTGACTTGCATGACCATATGAAATTATTGCGATATCGCTCACCTCTCAGCAAAAATCTGCTCACTGATTGGGGCCCGTGTGAGGTGATCAAATGCTGACCTGATATTGATCTCGTCTGGTCATATCTTTTGTTTTCCCACTTTCAACGGTTGGCTAAATCTCACTCCCAGGGACCTCAAACTGCATGTTTTAATCAGATGAAAAGAGATATCTAACCCTCAAGCTGCAACTCCAAAGTTATAATCGAACAAGAACTCTCCAATCCTGTCTCGGAAATTTAGAAACTGACACTTTTCAGTCTTCCTTGCCCGTTTCTTCATCAAAATCACTAAACTCATCGTCTAAGACTCCGCCCTAAGATGGTTCTGTTAGTTACACTGATTCTCTTTCTGTTTCCTACATGACATAAACACCTTGACTTTTGTTATGTTTGCAACCTCCCTCGTTCTGGGCGTTGTAGTCTGTAACATGTTTTCGTGGGTTCGCAAGCTTGTCCAATTCCTTCGGACCCTTCAGGTCCATTGAGATTCCCAAGTCCCACCAGTGTGCTATGTTGTCATCAACTTGGATCATGGGAAAGAATGAAAGTCACAGATGTAAAATCGGTGCAAGTTATACCACCTCTAGTCTTAGAGTTGCGAATTTCTCAGACCCAAAGCCGGTTTATGTCACTCCTATGTCAACAAGCAGATTGAAGGCCACATGCTGGGTTATGTGGAGAGAGAGAAGACGAAGTAACTAAAGGGAGCATGCTAAGGGCGGACATCCTAGATGCTTGGTGTATAAAGATGCTAACTCACCTTAGAAACCGAATGTCGTATTACGGATGTGGGTACGATGTAGGTACGAAGGTACCACGGACACCAAGGTGTGTTCCAAGGTTCTGCTGAAGTCTTTCATGAGTAAGGTTGTTTCAAGTGGGTCACATTGAGTGGGGCATTTGGTCACGTGGAGTGTATTTACATAGCATGGCCCGGGCAGTGCAGTAATTAGGTAAGAGCAATGAGCTTGCAAGGTTGCCCGTAGCAACACACCCATCCTGGTCGTCCCCTTCAATTTTAATTACGTGGATGGTCATCTAAGTGATGAATTGCTCGGAATCCCCCTCTTCCTTGGGTTTGCCTTTGGATACAATGTGGGGAAAATACAGCCAATTTTACCACTAGACCATAACAAAAACCTCGGTTAATGTTTAGGGCCTACTCCGTAGTGGGGGTTATATCCAAGTCTGACATACAACGGTCTACTCGCCCACCTCCACCCGGATTTTTCAACTCTTCAATAGAGCAGTAGATAATTCAGTATCTTCTACAAAGTCTAAAGAAATTCTAATTTGATCGATAGGTCCTTAAAATTCCTAACTTAATAGATAGCAGGGCCCCGGAACATCATTGAGCCTATCATCTGGCTGGCGTACCATAAATTAGTAATTTAGGGAATTGAAGAACATCGAAGTGAGCAATTCAATAAAATTCGACTACTTCGACAAAAATACAAAATACAGAGTCATTACTAAAGACTTGGAATCAGTAGGGAAAATTAGGCAGTTCCCTGCGCCAAAGGAGAAAGTGGATGGGTGAATCCCGCAGGTATAGACCGTTGTGCAATATTAGAAGAAGACAATAGGAACTGAATTTAAGCAAAAGATTCAACTTTAGAATGCAGCTTCCTAGGCTTTAGGCAGTTTCATCTTTGAAAATTTGATCTCGGTACACCGGTGGACTGAATGAACGCGCTACTCTAGTTCTGGTCATGGTCGGTTGCTTCAACTAGTATAAGCCCATTAGATCACTGACAAGACGATCCATCAGACCACAGATCATGCAATACATTGGATATAATTTGGCACGGTGCTGGGTGCCCATTGCTAGCTAGACAATATCTCAATTCTGCTTCTTAGTGCAATGATTGCAGGCACAAAGGTCTCCTCGTCGGTTCACACGAGGAAAAAAAAGCATTCGCCCATATTTTTAACATTGGAGCACCCAAAAGTGGTCCATAACAGGACGAATTCTTTAAGGAACTTGTTGGGAAGAACACCGGTCTCAGTCCACAGGCAATCTTCTCAGACATTTTCAAAGCGATGAAAGCCCATAGCAGATTTTTCTCTCTCTTTGGTCCTTTCGTCCCATGCCCAGGATCTCGCGAGAAAGTGGTTCAAGTTACCAAAGCGAGATGACGTCTCTTTTCGACTTTCCATAGACGTTTAGTGCTTGATACAAAATAGAGTGAGAGGATTCATTGAGCTTGACGGAGAATGTAAAGCCAGTGGAAGAACGTAGGCCGGTTACAGATGTGTCTTGAGATAAATACCACCTGACTAGCGGGATTTCTGTCCAGATTAGCACAAGCAACAAATCCTCAAATGAAATCTACCTTACCAATGAAAGAGGCTGTGAGGATAGGGATGCAAAACTCATCCACACAGGGTGATGTAGTAAGCCAAATCCCCTTGACAGGTTTTGCAAAATATGTGACGACACAACGTAGCACAGATTTTCATCAAAGCAGTTGCCTCTAGCCACTGGAACCATGTTCCTTCATTGCGTGCTCTGTAAAATCCGAACCAATCTCAGCACCCGTAGAGGGGAATATATTGATCCAACAAACACTCAGCGGTGGGTGCAGAATCCAGTATGGTGCGAAGCCTTTTTTGGTTAAGTTTATAGAATGATATGCATACCAGGGTTGTTCTGCCTAGCCAATATCCCTGCAACGGGTATGAATTACCCACGTCAATCAGTCCTCACATGACTTCAGGATTGGCTGGAGGTGAATATTTTCTTCAGTCTGAAGGCAAGAAGCGACTAAAATGGTGCAAGCGAGGAAGTAGTGCCTTTAAGATGGTCGGAACAGCCAATCCGTCTCTGGCGTCGGAATCAAGTAGTTTGTGATGTTGAATTCATTTGCATTGGAGGGGTGGCCACCATCATCTACTGACCCAGTTGAAGGCGCGGGGCCAGCGTCCGTCAATCCATGAACAGACATCGGATTTGGTCCAGGCTCTGGGATCTCCAAATGAGAGGGGTTAGAAGTAGACAAATCAGAAGCCCGGGCAGGAGGAACACGGGGAACATTGAAGAAACCAAAAACATCGAGGTATTCGAGTTCGTTGGGGGCGAAGTTGCGGGCGGGCATTGTAGTGAAGCGTGACTGGGGCTGGTGGCTCTCGCCAATGCCATTGTCAGCAGGTGATTCTCGTGGTTGACGCGAAATCAAAAAGTCCAGATCGAATGCACAGCGACGCATATCAGCGAGAATTTTCACTGTTGATGGTGTGGATCGTTCGCCATCTGTGGCGATGGATTGCTGATACTCGTTGTACTCATCCAGGACGCGCTGAAGGATACTGCTGTATCGCTCGGCAACTTTCCAGAATTTTCCTAAATGAAATAGAGTATCCACGAAAAATGTGATATCGGGGCTAACGGTATGTGCAATGGTTGAGCCGTGGACGAGAAGTAGGCGTGCTGAGACCCAGAGGGTGAAGGCGAAGGGTGGGCCCATCTTGTCCAGCAGATTATGCTCTACAACAAACCTAGTTACTAATAGAATGTTTTCGACGGCTAGAAGGCATCGCTGGCTGGCACTATATGAGGGTGTGAAGATTGGAGATCGGGTTGTCGGGTATGCTGCCGAGGAGTGCAGCCGAATCACAGCTCTATAGTAATTGACCCGTTAACTAGATGGAACAACGATTAAAACGAGGCCCACTTACGTCTGGTAGGTTGCATGTAATTGTACCCAATCGCTGTGCAGAGCCCGGCCATTCCTGGGCCCACTGAAGATTCGAGACGAGTTTTCGTAGGCGTATTCCGCTGGGAGATTGAACTCCCACGATGTAAGCTCACTGTCGAGTTTGCGATAGGTAGCCTGCCATTCTGCAACATCGGAGAGAGCCCCGATGTCCACGGGCCGTTTTAAGAACACGTGAATCCGCGAGAGGATGCCCAAGATTTCAACATAGAGACCGAAAGACCCAACGTTCTCAGCTTTGGTGAGATAATCCGCACGATAACTAGAGCATTGGAACCACCGCGTCTCAACGGGCTGGTTCTTAATAAAGTAATCGTCTTTGCAAGGGAGTTTGCGGTCGATATCTTTGTCGTCCAAGGCGAAATTGAACGCAGTCGCCAGGGTAGAATATCGGTCCAGCAAGTAGACCATCCAGAATAAACGACGTCTACTCTCCTCCTCAATCCAGCAGTCTGGCTCCGAAAGAGTGACAGCTCTCAGAGTATAAATTGAGGGATAGAGGGGGGTGACAAGAGAAGACTTTGATTCCACGGCCAACCCTAGCTGAACTACAGATCGGGTAATCAGGGCAAGGAGCTTCCAGCCTGGCGGCCCATTAGAGGATCCAACCAGATCAAGAGCTAAAATCACGAGTGCCTGAAGTGCCTTGACAGAGGAACTTTCTAGGCCATGGAGGACGACCCTTTGCTTGGCCGAGTCATGATAGCGCTTTCTGTTCTGGTCATTAAGCCTATTGTCGGAGGAAAAGCGCAGAGTTGTTGCCACAATTGCATATAGCACCATTCGGTCTGCCTCATCTAGTGGTGACGGGCCAAAAAATGTATCCAGCGTTGTTCGCCGGTGGAGGATCGGGCACCAGGAATTGATATGCTCGAAATACAGATCTACCAAAGCATAGAGCAAATCATATGGTGGCAGATCTAGATCAGGATTATTAAGAGATTGCTCTTGGTTTGAGTATATGTTGACGGGAACCTTCAAAGACGATTCGTTTCCTGTGTAATCATGATGTGCGTTTTGAGCATGTAGCAACTGAACAACTGGTGCCGTTGACATGTCCCGTTGCGGATGATTATGTGAGGCATTCTTCACAGAGCTATCTGATGGACTGTTGGTGGACATATCCGCACAACATGAGGGCATCTTAATAGCAGACACAGGGTCATTGAAGTACAGGACGGTACTTGGACTGGGTCCGTGGGCTGCCGACGGCTCGGACGGAGAGCTACATGAAAGACGCCCAGCGTGGGGTAAATCAGGGCCCATTGAAGACTGGCTTTGCAGCAGGTGCATCTCAATAAGCTGAGCTTGCGATCGAATTATATCCTCCAATCTATCTAGAGTACGGGTGAGATAACAAGTTGACGACGAGAGGACTGTAGAGCAACTTACCAAGTCGCTGTTCCAATTCCTTGCCATAGCCAGCTCTCAGCCCTGGCTTCTTCCGTTCTTTATATTCACACAGCTGGCCATTTCGGGTGCACCAGCCACAACTCGGTTGGACTCGGTCTGGGTTGGTCAATGTTAGAAACGGAGCATTTGCCTAGGTGTTTTTGCACCATACCACATTTTACCTTTCGCTGCTTGCATAGTTCACATCTTGGTAAGGTTAGCCGGGGTTATTTTTCATACAAGCACGGGTGGCCAAGGTGATTCAGATACGCACGAGACAGTGAGGGGCCGTTTTCGCTTCAACGCTGTTGTGGAGCCATTGAGTCTGATGTGATCATTGTCAGAATCCGAAGAATATTCTGCACTCTGATCTCTGTTTGGATCGCCGAATTGCTGAATGGAGGACGGGGTCTCCTGAGCGGGAAGCGCAGTGTTCGGCATTTTGATTCAGCGAGATAGCAATTCGCCCTATCAGGGACCGAGCATGATGCAGCGCTGATTTACGGTGAGATAACCGAATAGGCTGGGATAGCCTAGTATATTGCTTTATAACAGGAGGGAGCTTTAGAGTGTTCTCCACAATCGTCAACATTGAATCTGAGGGAAAGAGAAGGAAGAGACAGAAATGGTCGGACACATGGATCTAAGGCCTCAGGCAGAAACCGGGGCACCCCGCATTCTCCGCTTTTGGAATCCCCCGGCTTTCCTTCGATTGGCATGTACTTCCGTTTCTTCTATTTCTTATTCCTTTGATATCTAGCCAAAATTCTGTAAAAAAAAAGAAACAAAATTTGGAATAGCATCAGCAGTCATTTGATACCCTACAAAGGGAGTGCACAAACGGTCCAACAGAATCCATAGTCCACACCAGTTCGTAGAAGAGGTGCACGGCTTGCTTTTCAATATGTTGAGCACTTTTTTGCCTTAGACCCTATTCGTCAGCTTTACTGGGAGCTGCACAGACATAAAAATACCATAGAGTCTTATGCTTTCACAAGATGTGTATCAAGCTTTTCATTGAAGGTCGGTAGCTGCTAACTGTGTGCAACATCCATTATCCCAATATTGTCAGCTTGTCACTGGAGTCTTAATCGGGGGAAAGGTTAGCGTCATCACCTCTCTTAAAGCTAACAAAAGGCGAGTTGAGGGGCTTAATCAAGGGGAATTCCAATTTTCACATTCCTTAAACAGACTGCTTTACTTGTACATGCTAGTCCCATTTGTTTCCCCATATCCATTGCAAGTCAGAGTAATCTACTTACCCCAAGTAGACAAATACAGTCACCCGGAGTTATCGCAAGTCCGCACCGGTAATGCAGTGATAATTCCGACGAGTGATACTTAAAGCAGAGCTATCGATGCTTTACACGTGTAATAATATTACTTTTTTCTTGGCTACTATCAAACGCACCTGGCTATGGCCTTTCCTTGACCGGCGCAGCTTAGGCTGGCGGACAAAAGGTTGCGACCTCGCATAACCCATTGTCGACACCCGAACTGGTTGCCGAGAATGAGTTCAAGAAGGGGGGGGTTCTAGCTTGATATGGATAGTCCTGGTAGCGGCGATATTACTGCTAAGATTGAAAGCGATAGTGACTATATTAACGTCCTAGTTAACAATGCCGGCTTTTCTATTTATGGCCCCACAGAAACTTTCGACGAGGAGGAGGTAAGGACCCAAGTGGAAACCATATACTTTGGTCCCTTACGTCTCACCCGGAGCGTCTTTACCTTATATCCGCCAGCCAAAGTCCGGCGTGATAGTTAGTCATTTCAAGTAACGGTGCTTCGCTTAACGGTATTCCCCCTATAGAGGGTTACTTAGGTATAAAAGACTTACTTAGATAGTATTCATTACCATCCTAACTCTAAAAAGTATAGTTAACTGTTAGTTCGACAGCCCTTACCAAGATCCTCGATAAGGAGGTTACTTTATTCAATATCCGTACCCTGACTATCGTTCTCGAAACCCTTACCACGCAATATACCCAACTCAGTGGTTCCCGTAAAAACTCCCCTGTCGGAGGACTATAAGGCAACATTCACCAAGTAGGTTCAGGTTTATCTAAACCGTGGGAAGATCAAGCCCAACGGTGACAAGGACAAAGCAATGTGGGCTGTATACTAGGTTGTTGCTAGCGAAGGAGTTAGTGAACGCCGTTAAACCGAGAAGCTTTTCCCACTAGGGAGTGATATCACCCCACGACTCGTAGAGGTCCAGGAATTGCTTGGCCATGCCTTGGACGTGCTTGTCCTTGTGACCAACAGTGTGAATGTCGATTGGTATATCATTCTTCCCCGCCAGAGCTTTTCTGCTCCACCCCCCTGTTCGAGGCTTTGAAGTTTGGAAACTATCACCCATAGATTTTGGAATATCAAAAGCATTTAGCCCGGCTCACATGAAGCCCGACATAAGTAACAGAACATGTGTTGTCGCAAAAATTTCTCCGAGTCGGCCTTTTTCCGTCTCTCGGGTTAGCAATGCCCCGAGGTCGCCTCATCACGTATTCGTTGAAATAGACGTGGATTCCCCGCAATTATTGGTTTTCTGCTTTTCTTTATCTGTCTTTTACTGTGGACAATTGTTGAGTCCCTTTTCTCTTGAGACTCGTTCGTTTTCATACATCATGGGTTTAACAACGGAGTTTCCCCGCATCAAGGAAGTGCGCACCTTCATCATTGATGGTGTTGGCTCTGGCGGTGATTACCACAATGTAAGAGCTCTGAGATGTCAATTGGCTTGATGGTTTACATGCTAACTATGGGCACAGGTCAAGGGAGGCCACTGGCTGGTCGACAGCAATATTTCCACTCCTATGACCAAGTGGGCACAATTCCGTGGCTCGCGAACGTCGTGGGGCATCAATGTTTTGGGATCATTCTGCGTAGAGATCGAAGCCACTGATGGCAGTAAGGGCTTTGCCACTGGTTTCGGAGGGCCACCCGCATGCTGGCTGACCCAGCAACATTTCAACCGCTTCTTGGTTGGCGCGGGTATGTGCACCATCTCACATACATAGAACAATGGATCTTTCTGACAAACCATATTTGTACAGACCCCCGCGACACTAACGATCTCTTTGAGAAGATGTACCGTGCCTCGATGTTCTACGGCCGCAAGGGTCTACCCGTCGCCGTGATCTCGGTCATTGACCTGGCTCTATGGGATCTGCAGGGCAAGATCCGCAAAGAGCCCGTCTACAAGCTGATCGGGGGTGCCACTCGAGCTCGATTGAACTTCTATTGTACTGGTCCCCAGCCTGGCTCTGCAAAGGCCGCCGGCTTCATCGGTGCCAAGGTGGCCTTGCCACATGGTCCTGACGAAGGTACCGAGGGCCTTCTGAAAAATGTTGAATATCTGCGTCAGCAGCGTGAGAAAGTCGGTGCTGACTTCCCACTACGTGTGGACTGCTACATGTCTTTGACTGTTTCCTACACAATCCAGCTAGTCAAGCGCTGCGAGGCTATTGGGCTCGACATTGATTGGTGGGAGGAGTGCCTTTCGCCCGATGACTTCGACGGCCACGCGCTCCTCAAGCGTGCTCACCCCACTGTCACGTTCACCACTGGCGAGCACGAGTACTCCCGCTACGGCTTCCGCAAGCTGATTGAGGGCCGGAACGTTGACATCCTCCAGCCCGATGTGATGTGGGTTGGTGGAATGACTGAACTGCTCAAGGTCTCTGCCATGGCTGCTGCTTATGATCTTCCCGTTGTGCCCCACGCCTCCGGTCCCTACTCGTATCACTTTGTCGTCTCCCAGTCCAACAGTCCCTTCCAGGAGTATCTTGCCAACTCTGCCGACGGCCACATCGTTGAGCCTGTGTTTGGTAACCTCTTCTTAAACGAGCCCATTCCTACCAAGGGTTATCTTGACGTCTCTGTCTTGGACAAGCCCGGATTTGGTCTGGAGCTTAACCCCGCTGCTCCCCTGATCCCGGCTGCTGCTATCCTTACACCTGCACCCCAGAAGTCCCTACGGGCACCCGACAATGAAGAGGCGGCCAATGGCTCTGCGTAAATGTTGGCGATTTAGAATTACTGCTCCTTTTTTTTTCTTCGGTCTATTTCAAATATGAGATTCATGTACATATATATCGGATTTTAGGATCCTTTCAATCTCATCTCATGCCGATTACCATTCGGAAAGTACGGTGGTTGCTGCACTCTCTGCGGTATCGAAACAATTCAGTCAGTCATACTTTTTGGTCAATCTTCGTATGTTCAATTTAACCTCCACTCCATCTCTGCATATTCTCAAACTTGGGTCTTGTGGAGTGGTAAAGACAGATATCTGCAAAAACCGTTTAAGCAGCGGGAGACACCCACGTCTACAATGGGGTAAAGTGGTGTAATGAATCTCTTCCGCCTTGTTACTCAAGTTCTATCATAATCGTGTTGTGCCCGAATGACGAAATGAGTCTACTTTTGGCATTTAAACCGAGAGACAGACTGAAATAGCAGGAAATCGGAACTGCGAAACTGTTCGATTTGTTTGGAATCAAAGGCCTTTTGTGTGCGTTTCTTCCACCGTTGTAGAATACCTTACCTTTTGAATTCGAGTTTGTCTTGGAATCAGAAAGAAATGTGATCCAATTATCAACTGTCAATAGATGTCCCACAGGTGTATATTCTCAACGAACCAAAAGATGATCAAGTCACTATTTAGATAAATTGCCAAACATGAAGAGGCAGTCGCAAAATAGGACGATGTTATTTCGCGAAGTCCAGCACCAACGAATTCTACTTGTATTTCGAATCAAACAATCAGAACCATCAAAAGCAGATCTTTCTAAGAAACAGGTTGACCCTACTAAGTAGTTCCTTTCGCAGAATTCTGCCCTATCTCTGCCAAATTGCCGGAGATGCGGGGTTTCCCCCACACTCGGAGGAACATCAAGACGAAACCCCGAACTTAGTGAGAAATTCATCCATTTTTGCCCCAGGTGATACTTGTGAGAATTGCAAAAGATCCTTATTTCAAATATCTTCGATGGCATTCCCACGCTTACTAGTTGGCAAAGTCGCCGCCATCACTGGTGGCCTCACAGGCATTGGACGGGTAGGATTTCCCATCTCCGAAGTAAAATAGACCCAGAAAGAAAAACTGACCAAATAACAGGCAATTGCCCTTGATTATATCCGTCATGGAGCCAAAGTCTCCATCAGTCACCTCGGCGGCGCAAATGAAGATGCGCTGCTAGAAGCGCTACGCAAAGAGGTGAACGAAATCGAACCTGAAGCTGCCACCCGATTCCTCACGGTATCGGGGGACATTTCGCAGCCAGAGACAGGCCAGAACTTCGTCGCAAAGACCGTGGAGGTCTTTGGTCGGCTCGATGTATTCGTCAGCAACGCAGGCGTGTGCCAGTTTGCTGAATTCCTAGAGTGAGCTATGTCTTTTTTACCATACCACCCCTCGTCTCCTCTCTGACAACCCCACCAGACTCGAACCCTCCCTCTTAAATCACACCATCTCAACAAACCTCTCAGGCGCATTCTACGCTACCCAAGCTGCAGCCCGCCAAATGGCACTGACCCAGTCGCCGTCGGGCGGCTCCATCATCGGCGTGAGCTCCATCTCCGCTCTGGTCGGCGGGGCCCAGCAGACACATTACACCCCTACCAAAGCTGGTGTGTTAAGTCTCATGCAGTCGTGTGCGTGTGCGCTCGGCAAGTATGGTATTCGATGTAATGCGCTGCTACCGGGCACTATCCGGACGCAGCTTAATGAGGAGGATATGAAGGATCCGGTGAAGCGGAGTTATATGGAGAGTCGGATTCCGCTGGGTAGACTGGGTCAACCTCGGGATTTGGCTGGGCCGGCTGTGTTCTTGGCTTGTGAGGAATTGAGTAGTTATGTGACTGGCGCGCAGCTATTAGTTGATGGTGGGCTATTTGTTAACCTGCAATGAAGTCTAAGCTACCTTGGGTACTCCTGCACATATCTCTCATACAAGCTCAGATGATCTTGCGTTTCCATCCTTTCATAGTACTCGAATTTATCTAGATATCTATTCCATAGGCATCCAAAGCAACTGATCCCCAGACACCCCTCTTCTGTTCCTCAGACAATCCTCTCCGTTCCAAAATCTCCTCTACCACACGTCGCCATCGACCCCAAGAGACATCATTCCCACCGCCGCCAACATTGCACACTGGCCAGTCCGATCCAAACATAACACGGTCTGCTCCGAAAGCGTCAAAAACCACATCAGTCCATGACTGCAGCCGTTCAATGATTTCCTCCAAATCCGGTTCCGACTCTGCCTCTAACGGTCGAAGCTCAGAAAAAGCCCCAGAAAGCTTCATATAAGTCCTGGAATTAGCCCTCGCCATCTTAGTCACAAGGTCCTTCCACTCAAGGAACTCCGGATGAGACCGAACATCATTCACCAAACGAAGGTTAGGCTTGCACAAATGATCTATAGCAGTTAGCAAGTAGAACCCCGGCCTCACCGAAAGAAAACGAAACCGTGAAACCTACTAATAACAATCGTAACCACTCGATTCCCCTCCAAGCTCCCAGACACCAATCCCATCATCTCAACTGCCTCCCTCAACTGCCCCAGTCCCCCAGTCCTTGCATCAACCCCCAGGTCAAACACGAACCCCTCCCTCCCCAACCACCTCAACCCCGCAATAAACCCATCTCCAAGCATTGTCCCCGCAACCTTATCCTGCACCAGATACCTAACCCCTCTGACCTTCCCCCAAACCTCCTCCCCCGTGCGGCCACGCACCTGCTCCATGTACGCTTTCAGCACATCCGGTCCACCGGGCACAGGCGCCCACGGCACAATCCCCAGACACAGCTCCTTGTCGTGCGGGACATGGCCCTCGCCTGGGATGGGCGTGCCGAGGGCTATGCGTGTTAGGAGGGAGACTTCGTCCAAGGCATGTTTCCAGCCGTGGTTGGGTGGGGTTGAGTCGGTGGTGGAGGAGAGGCGGTCTGTTTCGAGGAAGATGAAGCCTCGGAGGAGGGGGCGAGCGTTGGCCTGTGTTGTTGCGAGGCGGTATTCGTCTACGCTGTGTTGGGTACCTAGTGGGTTGGTGGCATTGTGCCAGGATAGGGTTTTTAGGTGCGTCGCTGGGAAGAGGTGGATATGGGAGTCCACGATTGGGATGGGGGTGGTTGGTGTCATAGCTTTGGGTTGTGTGCTTGGGGTGTTCTGGTTTGGCCGGTGTGGGGTTTAGCCAAGTTATAGATTGCTTCCAAGGGTGGAAGATGGGGATGTGAGGTTGGTCATTCGGACAAAGTACTCTTAGTGTCTGGTTCTGGGGGTGTCTTTTTTTTTCTTTTTGCGAAACGTTCATAGACAGTGGTGTTTTCGGGGGAATGGGAAGAATCTCCAGTCCATGGGAGCTAAGACTCGTCGGTGTTTCTTGTCCCGAATCCAAAGCTTGGTGGAGACAATATTTTCCAGGCATTAGAAAGAATTTAAGCAGTTGTCGGCTATTGAACTCCACGTTAATTCTACAGCACTACACCATCAGAGAGTAATGCTATATATATACGGACAAGAAGAGTTTCATATGCACGAGAAAGAATCAGGAGTATACGTACACCAAGTGGACAACACCACGAGGGCAACAAAGGGGATGCATCAGGGAACATAAGAGAAAAAGCACAGCAACAGAGGTAAGGTAAAAGGCATGTGAACAACCCCTTCTGCAGTAACACGGCAGAAAGGACAGGGTATGTATGCATGCATGTCCGAGAGGCATGCAGTAAAAGTTGAAATTCAAAAGGAGCAACAAAAGACAAGAAAAAATAAAAGCGACGTTCCAAATTGCAACTCGCCAGGTCGTCTTCGCCATGATCAGGGAGCAACGAAGATGTGAGTAGAATGTGACACAGATATGCATGTTC